ATGTGTATATATATATATATATATATATATATATATATATATATATATGTATAATATATAGGTAAAGGTCACGTTTAAAACCATCGTTATATGTTCACACTGTCATAATTTTTACAGAGTATTGTTTATGAATTTTGGTGATGTTAACTTTATGTTAAATTAATAACTACAGTAAAAATAAATAATAAAAAATTGCGTAAATTAAAATTTTAATTATTAGAGAAACATGATTAATTAACTTTGCATAAATATTATATAATAATCATCGCTTAGTGTTGAAGAAAACATTTTACTTGCTTTACTTTGCAGTTAATTAATTAATATACCATTTATTAATCTAAAGTATCTCAAATAATCAATAATAATATTACAATAAACATTAAATTTTCTGTTTTATTATAATTCAGAATATCGCCTTTGAATATAATAATATTTGATGTTTAATTTTAATTTCAAATTTGATATCTCATAATTTCGAAGATTTAAATGCATTTTTTACATTAAAGAATGCAAATTACACATGCTGTCCAAAAGCAATCGAGTTTATACTGTAAAACAAAACGACGACTAACTCAAAATATAAAATAATTAAATACTATAATACAAGATAATAAAATATAATTGTGAAAATTAGAAATTAAATGATTAGAAATACATGAATCAACTAATTTTGCTTAAAATAAATGCATAATAATCATTATAGTGTTCAGAAAATATTTCAAATTATAATTAGTTTATGAATTTTTTAATTAATGTAAGTACCATTTATTAATAAATTAATCAAAGATTTTAAATCAAATAAAAATTAAAAAGAGCGTAAAAAGTCACAATGCAAGTTCTTCGTGTAAAGGTTACTGTATTCTCATTTAAAGTTATTTACAATCGTTTCTGTCTGACATCAGGTTTTCCTCAGTGTACAATTTTGACGATTTTCGTTAATCAGAGCTTTTCACATTATTGATTTTAAGTCAGTTAGGACAACGCAATTAAATAATAATTCTGTAAATATAAAATTCTTTCAGTTTTTGTAACGCATTTAGATTAATTTAAGTACTTATTTTTTTCAATGAAATATTTCAAGAACGGAAGCTTGGTCGGGCGACGCCTACATTAGACGTACAATACAAACAGAAATAATAATGCAATGATTTATCTTGTACAGATATTAAAAACAAAATAATGAATTAAAAACACAAAACTATTTGCTGTTAACTTAAAAAATATTTCTTCTAATAACATTTCTTTTCATATTAGCTAAAATACATAGAATGTGTTAATATCGATAAGCCGTAATTAATTTGAAATAAATTTCCTCTTTCATTGCAAATCTTTATGAGTACAAAAAGATGAAAAAATATAGTGAACTTAAAATAATTATCCCAAGATATATGATAAAACGTAAACTAAATATTTTTAAAACAATTCTTTTTGAAATATAATAAATATATACTGCTCTAATTTTATAATATAAAATTAATCTTAACAGGACTAATAAAGAAATAAAAAGTATCTTAGAAATAAGAAATGTTTATTTTTTCAATTTTGTTGAAATTTTATACTCTTGTTTTACATTTAGCGCTAAATGTGGTTTTAAATTTTGCTCTCTTTGAACATATAAACATATCTCATAAATGTCAACATCAAATAAAACTGAAATATAATACTATACTACATTTAACGATCAATCAATAGAACAGTAATGCGAGTTTCATTTCATAAAGCGCAATAAATTCACGGCAATGTGACGTATCTCACCGTGGAAGATTCGTCGCAGGATAACAGCGCGTAATAGTCCTCCTCCTCGCTGGGCGAGTAATTGATGGCGTCCTCGACACTCATTTCGCGTGACTCCTCTCGAAATCCTTTGCCCTCCTTTTCCCCTTTGACGTGTTCCAGATGCAATCAGGCAAAAATGTAACCGCTGCTTATGCTATTCGATTCCTGAATATCTCGTCGGAATCTTGTCGCTTTTCACCCGGTCGATCGAGATTCCGTCACCTGTTGCGAGTAAACGAGTCCGTGAATGGCACGTCGCCGACTAGCACGGGCGCTCAAGTGAGCCGAGTAAGGGAAAACCGTGTCGCAGACCCGGAAAGACCCGATTCCCGGGGAATCCCGCGCGACTGCGTACTCGCGATCCTGAGCCCGCACCCCCTTCGCAATACGCGCGGTTCGTAACGTTGCGCAGTTGCAACTTGCCATTTACCCTTACACCCCTATTATTTCTACGTACGCGCTGTAAAGAAGTTGCGTTTATGAGATATTAATTTCATTCTCCGAAATTCACGAGCTACACATTCCTTCAACCAAAAGTTCTGTTAAATTAAATTTAAAGGGCTTGAGTTTTCCAGTTGTTTTTACTGTATGGGATTATATGTCAAAAAAAGAAATTCGGCTCAATTTTTTCCAATGTACATTAAACTAATTGAAGTGCTTTTGCGTTTCTCAGAGAGTACTTTTACAAACTTGAAAAATGTAATGCAAAATTTATATTTGTCTATTTGTTTTAATTTTAAGTTAAGAGTACAATACTTTTTTCTGCATAAGATTTACTTGAAATTCAATCAAATGTAATTTTATCTTTACTCTTCCAAAGATTAATTAATTTTTTTTAATTTTTAATTACTAATTGCACAAAAATGATTAAATATGTGAATTATGTAAATAAGAAATATGAAGTAAATAAAGAAATGTTTAACAATTTTGTGATAATTCAAATTTTAAAAAATAGTTACAATCGTTATTTACACTTACAATCACTGTTAAGTACTGCAGTTTATCATAGCAAACATTTTATTAGAAACACTTTTAATACATAAATTACATGAAAATCTTATTTATCAATTGTCATAAATTGCAATGCACATATAGCCACATTGTTGATTATTATGTCACCAAAAATGATCGTAACGTTAATATCAACAGAAATTTGGAAGGTATAAATCTAGATCTTAAATTCAGAATATGCCACACAATAAAGAAATATATAATAGGAGTAAAATTAATTTACAATTTTACCATTTTATGTTTTGCAGATTTAAACTTGATCTTGTCAAGAATTTTAAAAAACTAGATCTGTCTCTCTAGACGCATTTATTTAAAACTCGTTCTAAATATCCAACTGATTCAGCACAAATATCCAATTATCAATGAATGATACGAATAACACAACAATCCACGCGTTTGCTTTTATGTAACATGGAACGCTGTTATCACCGAGATTCTTGACACGTTAAAATCGCTTTCGAAACTAACAGCTCGAATCGCTTTTTCTTTCAAGAAATTGCATATGGAAACCGTAAAAGCACTTACGAGCACGAAAATTCAATCCCCTGTGCAATAACGGTCTTCTCGGGAGATCACAACGATGTTTCTTTTTAGAGCACACAGTCGTACGTGTTGTAAGGAGCACTACGCGACATTGAGCTCTCAACGCATCTACGTTGCTGACGAGATTCCAGAGACCCGCGACTTTCACTCGCGATCAAACAACCTTGAACATTTCTCACAACTTTACCGATTGAGGAAAACGTTGCTATTACAAGAAATATAGCAATTTTATTATCATTATAAATCAATATTTTTTGCAATTGCAATCTGGTTAAATGGAAATCTTATTAAATATTTCTAAGTAAAAGACAGAAAGAGAAAGTTCTAATTTATAATATATGATATTTTAAAAAAAGTATATCCAAATCTCTCATGTTCTGTAGAATAATTTTCATGAACAAAGAAAGTACTGTTGCAAAATGTGTTTTTACATATAAAACAATTAAAACATTTGAAACATCATTTCACTTTGACTGAATATATTGTACAACATTTTGCAGCAACATTTTTCTTACATAGAATTATATCGAAAGAAAGTGAAATATGCAAATTCTTCTCTTACGCGCAATATTTATACACAATTATTAGAACGTATAAAGAGAAAAAAGTATTATTAAAAAATAATACATTTTTAAATAACATACTTAATAATACACAAATTATTTATTAACGCAATAAAAAATAGTAGTAATTTGGTATTTGACAATAGTGATCAAAATTTACTCCTCGTGCATCTCTAAAAAGCATAGCAGCGTGCATCGGACGCGCTGTAAAGTTATCGTACTCCAAGGGACAATCAATCCAAGGAATAGATATGTTCAAACTTATAATAATTCGATATTTTAGAAAATTGCGAAAAAGAACAAACAAAAAACATATCGAAACGTAAGTGAATGCATGGAGCAATTGCTTGCAAGAAGAAAGCAGATAATGATCGTTGTCGTTTACAACTATTGACGCCACCGTTTGACGCATCATATATTGTCCACATTCTACAAGCGACATTATAAATAATACAATCGAACAAATTCGCGAATGGAAAATAACAATAAAAAATAAAATTTTACTTGTAAACGCAAAGTAAATTTTTACTAAATAAAAAATTTCTAATTAAAAGCTTATTCGTGCATCACAAATATTTATCGCATCATATTAGAGAATACATATCACAAATTTATTTTATAATATTATTTATCAAATTGCAAAACAGCCTAACAAACTATCAATTATTAAACTTACGATTGCGTTTAATATCGATTGTAAAAGTACAAATATTTTTATAAATCGGTTCTCCGTTACAAACGTTACAATTCAAAAATATTTGTTTTTATTACATTAAATTGTTATTTTTCAATAAAGTTCGTATCAAAATTGAAAACTTTATTAATACAGTATACATTTTTATCAATAAACATTCCATAGTATTCTTTTTTGAGAAATATCAATCGTTTAAGATCAATTAAAAAGGAATATTTGTTTTTGTGATTTTCACTGTAAATTCACGAGAAAAAGTCCTAAAAAATCACGTATTCTAAAAATTTACTGAGTGCATCGAGCATGCTACGTTACAAAGAGAAACAAAAAAAGGAGCGGCAGTATAACAGCAGTATTTAATGGTTTGTCGAAAAGACATATAACCATTTGGTCGACACGTGTCAAGCACCTATCGTACATATGAAACCTGTCGCATTTCAAAAGTGTAAATTTCTCGCAGTTTGAATTTTTAACATTAGTCTGCCATTTAGATTTTTAATCTTTTAATTTCTACAAGAGGCAAAAAAAATAAAAAATTGTTAATCATTGTAATATCTATATTTAGAAAAATATTATTGCCAATAGAAAAATAAGTGATGTACGAACATTTCAATATTCTAACAATAAGATAAAAATAATAATTCCAAAGTAAATGAGTAGTATTTTAATGTATTTGTTTAGAAGAAATATTTTGATTTAAGATTTAAAATGTTTTAATTGGTACACATTTTAACTTGAAACAGATACTTTGATTTTCATTTTTATACTTATATACAAAAGAATAAAGATCATAAAATGCTGAAATGTTAACATAATTAATACATATTACTGTTTAAAAGTTTTTGATCCTATAATTTTTAGATAAAATCTGATACAATTATTTTATTAAAAATATCGATATTATAGCAAAAACTCTGATTTATTTTGCAAGTATAATTAATTAATAAAATAACCAAAGTAACTAACTAAATACATGTATTTACAAACTGGTAATTTTTATATCTTTTCCAGTTATAGTTAAATGAGACAGAGTTACTGACAATCAGAGAGTTATGGTACTGTAATCAATCATTTAAAGGATTTTACGAAACGTGGTCGAAAGGAGACGTGTCGAAAGGGTCAAACCCTTTCAACGCTTGGGGAAAGATATGTTCTTTCCATTTCGCGGGACAGGAAGTTCATGCTCCGCTTCGTTTCCGCACGCATATGCGTGACAGACACGCAGCGTGCACACGTAGTATTAATCCTTTACCTCAACAGAAATCGCCGCTAAACACCTATGTGCATGTGTATGTACATTTCACGTATCCAAATAATTAAGGTGTATGTGAATTCATTTATCTATGCCGTTAACGAATCGTCCTAATTATTATTTTTCTTTTCGTTAATTTAAAATACAAAAAAAATTATATATTTTTTAGGGCTATAAATTTCACATTTATTTCTATGTAGCCAATTTGATAGATTAACACGATACAAAAACTGATTATATAAAACGCGTGAGTAAAGTAATCTTTGCCCTGAAATATAAGGGAAAAATTCGTGGAGGGACAAGAAGAACGCACGTGAAACCGTTTTTCTTCACCGCCGCCGTCCTTCGACGTCCCAACTTCTGTCGTCCTTGTCTAGCCCGAAATAACGTTTTGTACGAGACGTACATGGGCGTTTCTTCGTGCCACTGCCAGATGCGTGGGTGGTGGCAGTGAAGAAGAGAAGGAGAGCACACCAAAGCGAGTGAGCGAGCGATCATATGGTAGTGCCCACCGATGGGGCTCCCTCCAGGTCTGGCTTGTCAGTGCTTCATGAAGTGTTGCGCCGTACCCGTGCATGATCCCTGACCGAGCACGACCCTAACGAGGCTCGCAAAACCTCGACACTGCGATGACTGGGAAACTTCGAAGAAGATCACGTGAAATAGTCTCGGTGAACTTTTTTTAAGTTCGAAATCGATACAATAAAGGTGACAACACAGAGTGCCCTGAAGCATGAAAAAGAAGAGAAAGCTACAGCACAAATGCTTCGTAATTAAATGCGACAACAATTGTGAGATAGAAATGAGACGTTGATTGTCATTGCTGGTCTCGTGAATTGCAATTGATTGCAATATAATGTGTACGCGTCAAACGGAAGTTGTTTATAGTGTTCTTATATCAATTGCACGATGTTGTGCAAAAAAAGACACTGAAGAAATGATCCATGATCTCAATCTAATATTGAAATAAGTGATTGATATAAAATTGTAATCGTGCTCTCGAATATTGCTTATTTCTAATCGACGAGTAATTTCGCGAAATCTGCAATATGTTCACATAAAAATATTTCTTTAAATGGAGCCGTTAAAGTATATTAAAATTATGGACAAATATAAAAATTCTTGTTGTCAAAGTAATTAAAGTTAAAAAAAAATGCATAAACTGTGATAAAACATATTATATTTCATGTGCAATTCAGGAGAAAAAGAAGACGAAGCGAATAGAAATTGGCATTGATAATTATTCGATAGTGTTTAAGTGAGACAAAGCTTGATGTTTAGTACAAATTTCTTCGTTTTCAAATACAATTCAGAAGATCTCTCAAGCAAATCATAGAATAAACGAAGATTGTATAATGCAAGCAATATTAACGACCAAGTGCTGAAGGTGAGTTTACAGACCGCATGATAAATGAATTAGACTTGCATTTGCATATTCGTACTCTCCGACATACTACGTAAGATTAACTTTCCTCACAAGAATAAATTCACTTCACAGAAACCGTACTTTGCCTTCCACTTTATATAAATTTTAACGATAAATACTTTTATAAGACCTCAGAAAATAATTTGAGTAAATAATCTATTATACTAATACAATTTCTGCATTAAGTATACTCGAAAAATTATTCAGCATATAATTTATATTAATTATTTTTTACTTTTTCTTATTATTTATTATTTAATATTAATTGTAATGTGTATACTTGTTAGTAACAATCAGATTTTAAATCAACTTATTTAGTATTTTTATATTTTCTTTATAAAAATTATATATAAAAGTCGATGGATGTTTAACATAATTCTTTTGAAAATCAATATTTATCGCAAAGTAATGGATTATTTTTTACAATCTTTTCTGTATTTTCTGCATGTGCATGCACCTTTCTGTACTTACACATGCACTTTTTATTTTCTTCTACACGCAGATAGTTAAAAATAATCTAGTGATGCTAAATTAATGTGTGTGTGTGTGTGTGTGTGTTATTATTCCCTCGAGAAATTACAAAACAAATAATTTCAAAAATTTTGTATTTACAAAAAATAATTACAAGAATGCAACGAGTGAAGAAAAAAAACGAAGAAATGGAAAAATAATCAAACGTAAATTCCGAATCGTTTTTCTAGAGGAGAACTCCTCAGTTGTGCTCGCGTTTAAACACCGCTTTATAGTCTCGAACAACGCGCTATATTCTGGATATAGCGTGTGCCGCACATGTGCGCGTTTACAGGGGCACGTGCATCGCCGGATACAGGCTTCTTTTTATCGGACCATGCGTCGTTGCAGGTGCAGTCGCAGGGCGCGATGCAGCGCGCGCGGCAACGGCCGGTCCTCTGCGACGGTCACAAGAACAGGCCTCTATTAATAGCCGCGCAAATGTGCGTGATTTGTTCGAGAAACCACGTTTAGCAGTGAAGCGGTATGATCCGACCTACTACAGAATAAGATGAACTTCCGGCATTTTCAAAAACTATCTCGCGAGTCAGGTCAAACGGGATGTGACACAATTTCAAACCTGCAAAATTAATTATGATACAAAGCAAAGGAAATAAGTTAAATAAAAGCCATCGCCATGTGTAATAAGTCTCTCATTTATAAAGGGCAATCACCTGTCAGCCATTCACTTAATATATTTTTTTAGTTTTAATTATCTCCGTCGAAACTACGAACGGGCTGAAAGATGTGATTAATTGTAGTATCTTTCATTAACAGGGTACAAGTTTAAAACTTTAATAAGCTATTGTAATATCGTTTTTCTTAAGTTCAACAAGTATAATTCTTAATATACAATAATGCAATTGTGGGCTATTTTTATTTTGATATCGAGTAGAGAAATTTGTATTTCTCCTGACTGATTGATAATCTTTTCTTTTATCTGTTGATCTGATTCTCTGTTCTCTTATCAATCTATCATAAATTTTCAATCTGTCGTAACAAATCAAATCAATATTTGATTACAAATCAATATTTGATTCTTCAGATGTAATATTATACATTTTTCGTTCTCGAAAGTTTTGCAAACATGTAATAAATCATCAATCTTTAAAAAAACAATATTTTAATAATTCAGCGATATGTATATTAATTATTCATATCATCGCATTTTTCATTTCTTCAACTGCTTTATTTGAGTAAAAGAATATGTGTATCAGAATGCTCGGCTTTTCATGGGTGCAATCACCCTTTTTCCTTTTCTCTTCTGATTCTCTTTCGATCCCCTTTTATCCCTTTCTCTTTCTTCCTCCCTTTCTATTTATCTCTACCTCTGCCAGACACATACTGCTTCTCCTGGTCGTACGAAAATAGTAACCGCCATCGTTGCCGCAACTATGAGGGCAGAAAATTGTCGCGGCGTCGCACATTCGCTGAACTAAATTTGAGGAAACGCACAGATTCCCGGTTAATTTCATAAGTTGCGGCCACGTGGGATGACAAAAATAATTATCAAAGAAACGTAATGTAAGTCATGGAAAATTATCGACAATTTTATTTATAAATAAGCTTTATCTTTTAGTAACAATTTTTTAACGACAAGAACAATTAAATCAAAATGAATTTCGGACAATTTAAATTTTGCATTGTTGAACACAAAACACAAATTAATTGTTTTTTTACCTTAAAAATTATTTATTTATCTTAAAAATAAATGCAAAAATATTTGAAGAGAATAAAATAAGAATTTTATTATAAATTTGTGGAAATTGGAAAAAATAATAATGTTAATAAAAATGTACAGCTCAAAATTCAAGAATTAACGTATAGAAATTAATTTAGGGAAAAAAGATTTTGGCTTACAAGAAGAACAATGCTTCTAATACTCAAGGATGAGAAAAAATCTTGTTATAAATAGTCGACTTTCTCGGGACGAGTAATAAATATCATTGTTCAGGTAACTGCGACAGAGACATGCGGAGAACAACGTGATAATGTCGCGTGCACAACACGTGAATGAGTCGCGTTCGAGCGTTTCCGACCCCCATTTCTTCGTTCTCCACCCCCTTCTGCGTGCAAATGTAAACGGGTCCCTCATGCGCACGATGTGCGTCTCTCATCGTGCTAAATATAATATTCGCGCGTATTTTCAGCAATGAATGAAAGCATCGGACACCCGCAGACTTTCCCGCGTGCAATTTTCTGAATCAAGAAGGAGGGAGCGGGTGAGAGCCAGTTCCGCGACCGCAATAACGTTCTCTTTGATGTCATGATTGCAGTACAAGTTGTCAGTATGTCACGTGCGAGTTGAATATGCGGGATATAAACGAATGAAATTTCTATCTCAGAAACGAAAGAATTTAAACGCTTATTTTTCTTATAAATTTCTAAGCAAGAGTTGTACAGTATTTTTAACGAAATTATGGTGCAGGTTTTTATTTTCAGTTGACACCAGCTTCTTACATCACTCCTTTTGTAGAAAACATAAAATAATTTTTCATTTTTCTTTAGTAATGAGAAAAATATAGATTAATTAAAACAACACTGTTTTGTGTGTGTAGAATAGTGTTCCGACAAACACGTGTACCTGGTGTCTTTTTTTATAATACCGTTAGGATACATGCTAGTCAGTTACTATCGATCCAATAGCGGATAAACAACCCAATCTGAAACTCCTCGATTTACTCTCGCGCTTCAAACCACTTATTCTGAAATATCTAGAGACCAAGTATATTGTATTATAAATTTAATTCTCTTTTTTACCCCCCACATTGCCAAATTTTTATAAATAATGTCTAGTAATTTTAGACATATTCTTTTCCGATTCTCAAGTACAATAATATTTATATAGAATGACATAAATAAATGATTGTTTACATGCGATTTGTTTTGTATTGCAGCTCCGCGACGCCTCAACTGTGAACCAACATTTTTACGGAGAGAATCATCATGGCAGTCGGTGAGTTTTATACTTTCCCAGTAGAATCGCATCGAAGATCGCAAAGATCGCATACAGATCTTGACGAGAGCGATGTTCAGCACGCAGAGCACGTCGTTAACGCGTAAAATCGCGCGTCCCTCACATCTTTCATTTTTATTCGCAGCCAAACAGTGGCTCACAACACTTGTCGAACAAAATCGCAAGCAAAATTTTCAATAGAATTTGGTGCTTTCATCGTATATAAACTGTAACTCGAGTTTCAACTTGAATGGAATATAAATAATAATCTCACATCTAGATTTTCGCTGAAAGTATAGTTCTATAATTCTTTATATCTTCAAAATATAAATTATTTATAAAAATGTTTTGAAGAATTCTGCTGAACGTGGTATTCTAAACTCTAACTTGTTTAATTTATGTGCCGAAATTCCCAAAACACGCGAATGTCTTCTTAATGATTCTTTGATCAATTTGATCAATTTGCATATGAAAATGTCGATAATTTTTAAATAAGTTATTGTAAAAAAAGAACGTTTTGCGAATTAAACTTTAGAGAGCAAATAAGTAACAAAACTATATTTTTCAATCAATTTTAAGTAAATTTCAATCAAATTTTAATTTAAAGCTTAGTTTAAAAAATATATGATATAAAAAATTAGAAAAATGCGGCAAAAGTAATGAATTTTGCTGAGGAAGAATTGATTCCAAATTGATCAGAAAATCAATCATTAAAAAGACATTTGTGAATTACATTCCGAATAAGCGAGAAAAAATTCATTACTACTATATCGGTTCTAAAAAATTTCGAACGAGAAATAATGAATAAAAAAGAATCAGATAAATATAAATAGATAAAATCAGATAATCAAATGTGCAAATAACAAAAAATAAATTTAACAATAAGAATAAAATTTTGTCAAAGTTATAATCTCATATACATCTCCATCGAGAAGTAATGGCACGGAGATTGTGTGAATCGAGGTGGCATATTTCCGGTGCCGGCTACCGCGTATTCCTGCCGGTTCACCGGCTAGGGGAGAGGGAGGGGAGAAACAATGCAACGTCCGGCACAGTGCATCCCCCCACCCTGGTCAAATCCAGTGATCGTAGTAAGACTTGTGTATGGTGTCCCATGAATACAACACAGCACCCACAGTCACAGGTAGACCCTCTATTAGTCCGCAGCCGTGGCTACAGCGCGGCTCACTCAGCCCCTGATAAAAGCAACGCTGCCTTAAATGACATTTGATCTCGAATTAGATAAACGCCTCTTCCGCAATCACGTGTATGATATCAATAACGCGGCGGTGCATAGAATCGTACTGAGAAACACACGCGAACACAGCATTCAACGCCTAGGTTTTCATCTAAATCTTCGTGTGGCGCGAAAGAATGAAGATCGAACTCGATAAGACATCAAAGAGTGTTGCACAAGTGATAGACTAATTAAATGATTTTTTTGTTTTTGGTGGCACGATGGTTTAAAGAAAATCGATAAAAGTGACAAAAGCAACTGTATGAATTTTCACGCTAATTATACAAGTTAATGATAGACACATTGTGTGAGAATTTATGCAAATCTATGTGTCTTACGGAGCCGATCACACTAACGTGCCAGTATAACGTAAAAGTCACGTGAAAGAACAATAGAGGGAGAATTGATCTTGCGATTGGATCCGTTTGATCCGTATGTTCACAGATAATCCGTCGTACTTCTCGCTGTCCGGCGGGGCTTCGTCATCGACGAAGACGACGACGACGGCCACGTCGGCGTCGCCGACGTCGCCCAGAGGACACAGCGGTGGTTTCTCTGCCTTATTCCGACGAAGAGCCTGCAAAATGGGTGCGGCTTCCTCTCAGACCGGCGTCGTCATCTCGGAATCGGCATCCGGCATGCTGATGCATCACGAAGGACGCGGCAACGCGTCAGGCGCGTCAACGCCGTCGACGCCGACGGAGGAGCGTGTACCGATGCTGTCGCGGAACGACGCGGCCGAGCCCGGATGCGGCAAGAGAAGAAGCTTCCGGAATCTCTTCAGGTCCGTGAGCGCGAACGCGGATCAAGAGCGAACGCAAAATTTCCTCAAAGGCGACCCGAGACCGTCCGACGTCGCGCCATCCTCACCGTATTTGCCTCATAGGTGAATGTCACTTTCCTTGCAAACATCGAAATCGATATATTCTAAATAAATTTGAATTTATTTACTTATTTACGCGCTTGCAATGCTAAATCACGGCGTTTTTATTATCACGAGAAAACATCAAAGTACTTTTTGCATGTAAATTGTAGTTTAAACTAATTTTTAATTCATTAAATTTGCAATGAATTTTATCATTTTAATTAGTTTAATTGATATGTATTTTACTGTGAGGAATATGTATTATAAGGATTATTTTGTCAGTACAGATCACACTCGCATTCTGAAAAGGATCGGCGTCATCCTAGCCGTGGCAGAAGAGTTCTGAAATCTGCTAGCGAGCTTCTGTCTAACGATATGGTCTACTGTGGTTTAGCAGGCAATTCTAAAAATCACAATGGTGACGATAACAACAGTAATGACGATGACGATTCCGCAGAGGTCTTTCTTGGCGTGGACGACGCAAGGTAAAAAATTATTATTTTATCTTTTTAATAACATTATCATCTGTAACATATCTTTGTACTCTAAATTTCTTTTACCATATTTTCAGACGGTTTAAACGGTTCTCACATGTTTTAATTTCTGACTATGTAATATAATTTATAATAATTTTGTCAATTTTTATGCATACGTAATTTTTCATTTTTATATATTTTTCATAGTTTATTTTATACCTATTTTTTAGGAGAATCTTTTCTGACGAGATGTTGTGCAAATAAAAATCTTATAAGTCACTTCAATATTTATGGTTTTTTTAGTTAATAAACATTTAATGCTCAAGTGTGGTTAAGAGAAACTAAAAAAAGAAAGAAGGCTGTAAAATAACTGTAGGATATTTTTTTCAGATATTACAACCTTTCTTCCACTCTTCCTACGGCTGGTTCAACTGCCTGCCGAAGAAGACATTCAATCGGCACTTTTCTCGGGAAAGAAGCAGGCGTATCCAGTAATGCCGTACATTCAGGACGGAAACAAACAGCAGGGTCTAAGAATCTGTTAGAAACAGATGCGATGGCAGCTTCAGTGCCAATTGACAATATTGATGGTGTCTTTTGTAATGAAATATCTTGCAGCAAGAACAGACGGAGAAAATACAAGAACTCGTCTAATAAAGGTAAGTCTATAGATCTCGAGTCTTTCATCGCTTTTTATACACCATTTGATTATGTTTATTAAGTTATTGCATAATCAATGGTGTACCTTTCACGATATAATTCTTTTTTCCCGTGCAGAATTATAATTATAAATAAAATCAAATTTAGTATGTTCTCGTGAATTTCTAACACAGTTCAATTCCAATATAAATTTTATTCAAAAGCATAGCTTTCATTTCTTTAAGTGCTTGTAAAAGCATCTCAAAGTTATCTCCTTAAAGTATGAGTGTATGTGCTTAAAAAAACTCTATACTTTCGTTTTTTGAAATAGTCAAAAAAAATTCGAAACTACCAGGTTGTTTAACTTCGATTGAAGTTTCAGATTCTCTTATATATGCAAACTGACCTAATTAATAAAATAATTAGAATAACATTGCGCGAGACAACATTTACAATAATATTTTATATAGATCTCTACGATTAAATGTGGTTAATAAATTAAAGCAAATTGTAACATAATGCGAAATATTTAATCGTGTCTCTAATCATATGATAATTTGCCGTTGAAAGATTCTGGTTTATTAATCAGTAATCTAGTATCCGAATAAACAAATTTTGTCCTGTTTCGCTTCGATCAGAAATTTGACCCGCATTCAAGTTTTCATGAATGGCGTAGAATCATCGACAGTTATTGAGCTATACGATTCGCACGTATTCTTTTTTTTTTCTTTCATCGCGGACATGATTATTATTTCTATAGCGAGAATAGCACTCGAGAGTGAAGAGTTCTCACATTCCCACGTCCCATCTATCGCATGCCCGCATGAAACGCGAATCACGCCTGCGTGTTATAAAAGTCCAAGCGACTGCGACACAATTTCGATCGCTCCAACGGCATCGATTGTTCTCCAATTTCCATTCAGATGACACTTTCGGGTCACTCCAGTTTTAATTACGGCGCTGGAAAGTGACAATTGTAGGCAGTGTCACATTTATTGGACGACTTTCATTTGAATAAAACCAAGCGCTTTTATATGAAAAAAAGATAAAATTATCTTTTCTGAATTGATTTTATTGATTGACTTTTTATATTTGCTTAAAATTAAGCACACCGATTGTTTCTCTATTCATGAAAAACTTGGAGATGTAGCAATAAAGTGTTAAATTTTAAATAAAAATTAAATGTGTTTATATTTTCACAAATCTTATTGTTAACCAAACAATTTGTAAATGAAAGAAAATATGTTATGCGCAATAACTGTAATATTATTAATTCTATTTAATCGTACACACTTTATCTAAGAATTGATATTATCGTATTTCGCACAATATTATAATAATTTTATTAATTAATTCAGTTCGCATGTATGATCGCTTTTAAAATTCGAATTGGAATTAAAATAAATATCTCATAAAGGATATCCGGTGATATCTCGCGTAATGGATAAAACTCGGGACCGATTCGCGCAGATGAACATACACGTAGATTAGATGAAAGTCCGGAAGTTCACAACTTTTAGTATTCGGCAAGCGATCTCGCCGTTGCCACTGGTCGCTGCACGACTATGAAACCCCAAAATTTACGACGTTACGTGAGCAGTTGTATAGATAACGAAGAATTCTCTGATGCACGTAAAATTAATTCTAACTTGACAAAAATTGCGTCATGCATTAATAGTTTTATAAATAATGCTTATAAATAATTTTCCATAAATCAAGTTTTTACATGAAAAGCCTCATTATTCGCTAAAATTCAAGTAAGTTAAATTTTTTCCAATTTTATAAGAATTAAATATGCCCAATAAAACATCTTACATACAAAGTCAAAATATATTAAATATTAATACACACGCAACAAATATAGAAATATAGAAATATAGAAATATAAAATTCTTATTAGGCTGTAAAACATATTCTTAAAAAAATATTTTTCTTCTTAAAAAAAAAAGAGAAATTTTAATAAATAGATAACAAATATTTTTTGCCATGTAAATTTACTTTTGTAATCTTTGGTTCTATATAAAATAGACAACTGTAACAAAATTTTTTTAAATATGAATTTAATGATATATAATATCGCGGATGTGTTAACATACTAAATAAAATCTTATTAATTGTGATAAATACGATCAAAAATTTTGCAAAATAATGTGTAAATGTAAAGTTATTTAAATCCCGTAAAAAAAGAGAGATTATCTTCATAAAATTTACATCTGCTAATATTTTATGCGATTAACATTCGTACACTCTTAATGTAGGAAGAATATTTGTGTGTAATAGCGTGCACATGTGAGATACACCGAGCGATTTCTTAATTAAGAAAGTCAAGCGAGATTGCACTACACATGCTTTTAACAACGAAAATGTGACCAGCATCCGGCCGCTCTTTAATTACAGCCGGAAATGAATCGTAGATATTCATGCAGCAGGCAAAAATAGGAATACGGTCTGCAATGCTAGCAACGCAGTATATATAAATAAGTAAGACAAGAATCTATCTCGCATAGTAAATAATCATCTTTGTTATCCCAATTAATTGACTTAACAATTGGGTCAAATCAGTACATCCGGTCGAGAGATTTCTATCTACTCGTTATATCACAAATCAAATATAATTTTTAATTTATTTTGATAATATAAAGAATGAGTAATTTTTATTGCAAAAAAATAATAAGATTTCTTCTCGAAATTGTTTTATGTCTGCTCTCAAAAATTGCATTGTTAAGTATTAGCAAATTGCGAAAAGTAACATTGTTATCTATGGAGGTATATTTGGCATAAATATTTGGCAGAAATGCAATGCATTCGGAAACTGGGAAGAATTAATTTAGTAAAAGAATCTTTCAAAGAATCATTTACTTACGATATATTGCAGAAGATGCGAAAGACAGATACCCGACTGTATTTGTGAAGTCTAGATTCGTTTCTGGAATGTGTTTTCACGTGTCTTCCGTTGCAAGCGCTGCACAGTATGCTGTTGCCAACACGAAACGGAAATATCCGTCCATATGTTGACATGAGGTCACAGGCAGTCGCACTAACGTACATCCCACAGCCTCATCGAAAGAATACGCTCCTCTACGCCATAAATTATTTCCTTCCATCTAGAAAAAGAAATGTTTCGATATAATAACCCCATGATCTTACTTTGATATTTTAAATAAATATCCAAAAATATTATTCAATATTATAAAAAACGTTGGAAAAAAAATCACCTATTCTGTTTGGTGTTTACAAAAAAATCAATATTGTATTACGACGTGCACAGACTTGACTCATTATTAGCATAATTAAAAGAGAAAATAATTCTACATCAAAAAATTATATAAAAAAATAAAATAAAAGTTTTTATAATACTTTATTTTGAAAAATCGAATTTAAAAATTAATAACATCTTCTCTTTATTTTAAGCCTACATAATTTTATGACCTTATTCTATAAATCGATAAATTTATTTTGACAGATTTTTTATATTTTTACTTTATTTCTTTCATATAAAATTACCATCTTTTTTATTTTACGACCATTAACAAACTTTGTATGTACAAAATAAGAGTCAGTTACGCAACATCTTCTAAATTGACATGCTCTATGAAAATATGTATTATGTGATAAAGAGATCAATCCGTAGCGTGACAGACACAAAACGAGTATGTTGAGCAGTAAAACGAGCCACATAAATCTATTGAAAGACGGAGGTCAGTAACCGCAAGATTAAGCATTCTGCCGACATATTCGATTCTATCCTCATATTATTTACCGGTTGTACTTCCTGGTGCTACCCCAGCAGAGATCTAGCGCTTCCGGTGCTGACAGTTAGTTTCCGTCAGACGTTATATCGATCTTTACAACATGATAATAAATAGAGATTAGAAAAGAATTGATTACAAAACAGCGCTAGCTTTCATTAGTTAACCAAATATTGACAATGAAATCTATTTATAATAATTAAATCGTAAAAATAAAAATTCATGTTTTAATGGTAAATATAGTAACGTTATGATTTTTAGTAAAATTCTCCGTGGCTATTTTTATCCCCATCTTGATTTTTACTGTGCATGTGCGGATAATAAAATTGCTGAGTAATATACCTTCGCGGAATTGATCATCATTAATTATCCGTTCCTCAAGTCCCGAGTTCTGAAATTGTGTTAATTAAACCGCTCGAATCGCAACAGCGTAATTAGCGCAATTAACGTCTACATATTGAGTTGTGTTCTACTTCCATCCAGACGCGTAGTTTTACTTTAATTCGGATTTGTTCAGATTATCATGGCGAAGGTATGTATATACATCGTCATGCGCAGTATGACAAACACATCCGGAAGAAGGGAAAGGATATATAATTCTGTTTCGATATTTACTCGTGTTATAAATATTTACGCTCTTGGAGATTTTGTCCAGAAGTCGCAGAGAAACAAAGCTTCTGAAAACTGCTTGAAACTCAGCAACTGTTAATTATTTATATCTTTCAAAATATTAAGATCTAAGGATTTTTATACATTGTGATAAAAAATAGTAGTAAAATAAAAAGGTACTTTTATTTCATTAAAATCAGAATCTATATAATCATGCGGCGAGCAAACTAAACTTTTTCAAAAATTTTATAATATTATGTTATTATTACAACAAATTTAGGAGATCTTGCGTAATTGCCTCTTGTTTTTGTGTGTATAAGATAAGAATATAAGATAGTGCATTAATGATGGCACAACAAAAAAATAATAATTTTACATAAAAATTAAAAGCAGAAAATTTTTTTCTTACAAACTTGAAAAAAATTAACTGAAAATATTGAAGAATTAATATTTTTTGTCATTTGATATTTACTTAAACAATTTACGCATTAATATAATTTATTAGTAAATAATAATTTTATATATATATTTTTCTTTTCTGTTAGCACTAACAATAAGTTGAAATTGTGAAGAACATTAATTTCTTAATGCGTTTTATAAATATTGATTTTGTATTTCAATATTTTCTGATGAAGAATAAAGGCCGGCATAATCATACGATTAAAAGGATTAAAGATCAATTAGATCGATGGCGAAACGCTAAATCCGAAATTCCAGACCGAAAATGTGATACTGTAGAAACTTTACTAAAAATATACGTTGGATTTGCTTTATTTGGAACATCAATTTAGATTCGTGCTCGAAAAAGGGATTCGAGAGACGCGATCGGAGTTGGAACAACTATCAAGTACATAAACGAGGTTTGATTGGTCAATACGCAATGTCCGGTAACTACGATTTATCCAGCGAACCAAAAGTCGCGCCCTGTTGCTCTTCGATAACGCACGCTTGCTCATTGATCCCGCCGATCATCCGCGAGTCGACCGAAATAGGTATATGTGTATCAAGAAACTAGATATCTCGATATATACAAATATTATTATAGAATAAATTCTTCGACTTATTATATCTTATCAAATTTTACTTCTTATCAGCTGAAAAAGAGAAAAGTTATCACTTCTCTACAAAAATATCCTATTCTTTATATTTATTTATAGAACATAAGAATTAGAGCTTTATATATAATTTTAGTAAAATAGTATTTATATTTTCATAATTATTATAATTATTTTTTATTTATATATAAAAGTAAATCCTTAGAGATTATCTGGAAACAAGACGTGTTTCAATCATTCTGACATCGGCTATACCTAGCTTATAGGATTGTTGAGAAGGATTAGTATCTAGTTAAAAGTTCTAACACGCGCCTACAAAGATTTAATCTTTCAATAGACTAGTACAGAACAATGATACGGCAGAATTGGAAGAATAACTCATTATCTCCAAAAATCTACGAATTTTATTTTTCTCATTGAATTTGTTTTATCTAATATTTATGTATATCAGGAATTGTTATTTAGATAAGTCTTTAAATTTAGATAAAACTTAAAATCAGATAAAATTTTTACAGTATTTGTTTCCATTTTTTTAAATTTAGCTCGAAATAATATATTTTCTCCTATACTTTTTAACTCTTTATTTTTGTAAATTAAAAACCAATGGTCTGTTAATATTTGTTAAAAAAAATTCGACTCAAAATTTGTCAAAAAATTTGTAAGACATAGTTAAAATGTGTTTTGATATGTCTGATATCTTATTTCTAAGACACATTATATAGATCAAAGCGCGCATTCCAACAAGAAAGTTTTATCGGTTATTATTCCCCGTAAGGGGAACTACTAATGATTCTCTTGTCAGTCGAGATTTCCGAGAAAACGAAGAACCTATAAACGCTGCCGACTTATCATCTCTTCTGTCTCTCCGAGAAATTTATAAACAGTACATATGCTCCGAATGCAACGCGTTATATGCACCGCAACTGCGTTGATGTACATAAGCAATGATTTCGCGTATCCGTTTGGCATTCCCGCAATATCCGTTGCGTTTCCTGTCACAAAAATATCCTCAACGTTTATTGTTTCATATTATTATTACTTTTTTTAACTCATTACGATTAAATAGTTGCATCTGTAAATAGTTAATTAAAAAATATTTTTGGATTTTTCAATTTTTTATTTATTATTATTTTTGTCAAATATATCCCAGACAGCACAAATGTTTTAGGTGCCTTTAAGATATTTGTGCTGTCTGGATATTAATCTATGTTTATTAAATAATTACATTTTTTATATCAACTGAGATTTAATTTTCTATACTCACAATACTCTCACTTAATGCTTCTTTTCGACTTATGTGAATCGCCATTTACGCCAATGTAATTAGTAGTTAATCTAAATTTTTTTTTATATGTTGCAAGATTGTATTAAATGATTTTTATTGCAATATAATTTAATAAAATCTGAATGATTGTAGATTAAATAAGTTCACCTTTTTAATTTCACTAAGTTTGAGACGAAGCATTGGCAGTCCGAATCTCGGCACGTTAATGAATCGTATCCGACACGGTATGTAACTCAAGTGCAACGAAGATAGCCTCGAGTGTAAGATATGGGGAACTGTTCTCGTGGAGACTTCAAGACGGTTATTATTCCTTCATCGGTCCCTCGGACCGAATGACTCAGTCCCCTTTTCTGATCTGACTAATTGAAGCAGCCTAATTTCTGTATCAAATGCGCGGCTTGATATACGCTACAATATATGCTACTAGCGAATACATAAACTAAAAACGAATACATTAGCACGAAATTATGAAACTATGATATAAGTAGTGTCGTTGTACAATGCTTTTTTTATCTCATTATATCATAAATATATAAAATGTTTCAAATCTTCCATAAATATTTCTATTATTAAATGAATATATATGTTTGTGAATAAAAATATCTACTTTCAGAATTTCAAAAAATTTTTTAAAAACAGACGAGAATAATTAATTGACAAAGCAATAAATCTAAACAAAATATATTTTCTATTCTTGATCAAAGATGCTTTTTTTATATTTTTCTTGATTTGATCTTATTCTAAAGAAATTATATATATAATGAAGATTAGCTATTAAATACATTGATAAAGGTTTTAGAAAAGAAGCAACGGAAATAAAAGCACCGATAAATGACCGGCACTCTATAAAAGAATTTTGATTCACTTGTGAATGAGGCCCCTGTTTTACGTTCTCTATTTTTAGAAACTATCAAAGACTGACGATAAAAGTGTCAAAAGTATAATATCATTTTCTAGGTTTCTTGAATTCTTATGGACAAATTATTTCAATAAAGAAACTTTTTCATACTATTTCAATTTGATTGCTGTTTTAAGTCTACTAACCATAAATGAGAGAATTTTATTTGTAATTATTAATATTACCTATTGATAATTATTGATAATACAATCACAATAAAGTAAACATAAAATATGTAATACACCAAAAATACAATCTATTTTTAACTGTAAAATACCTGAGTAAACGCATTTTTATCTGTACTATAATATTATTACATAAAACTCCCCTTGTTTTTTAGAAAAGACTTATAGATTCTTTTACTTACTAAACTACTGATATCGTAAATATGATCTAATAATTAATGCGAGAATAATGAAAATAAAACGTTAGAAAAATGATTCATATAAAGATAAAATTATTATAGATCTAATTATTATAGATAGTAATTATTATAGATAATATCTCTAATTTTTAATTATTATTAATGTAGTAACTATTATTTCAATAGCTTTCATTTGTTATAAATTAAAAAAAATAAACTTTTTATGTAAAATTTATGGCATTTACATCTTTGAATTGCTTGAAATTTAAAAAATTATAATTATTTTTGAATAAAACTATATATACAAATATATAATATGGCAAATAATGATTGCAATCATATTTTTCTCAAATTGTACAATTACACGATACTTTTCATTGGTTCTATCGACATGATAAAGACCAAGATCAATGGATCACGCACGTGGGCCCAGAAGATCTCTCCGCGACCGATGCCGTCTTGACAATGCGCCTGCGCCAGACTCAAGCGTCGCGGCGGCCGGTGCATCCTCGAGAAGCGCTCGAATATTTGTTCAGTCCTGCAGCGCATCACGTTAGAGATTGGTTTTATACTCGTAACTCCCGCGTATTTTATTTTCATTAATTGTTCATTGATTAAAATTACTAGTATAATTTTAATGTGTTCAACTTTCGACGTTACATACGCGAAAAAGTGCACTTTACGCATTTTAATTGTTATGTTTATATCATCAGAAATAAAGATTATTTGTAGATATCAAAATTACAGTGGTGTTCGCAGCATTATATTAAAACTTAAACTTGTCTAAATTATGCCAGTTTTAACGTCAATTTATTAGCACGAATTTTCTTAACGCAAAAGCATCTCATTGTTTATTTAATCTTACTTTGACTGATCGTTTATTTCACTCGCAGATAAATTTTTTTCAGTGGTTTGAAATGAGTGAGTGGGAGTCGATGAGTGTATTAATCGTATAGATCACGATAATAACGAAATAAAAATGAGGATAAAAGCTGAGGATTATTACGCCAAACGAAGCGCTGAATACTTTGGTAATTATCTTTTTTTTCTGATTCTAATCTCATCTTTCTCAATTGGCTCATAATAAAAATAACCGCATGATTACAGAGAAAAATATAACAAACTGCATAAAGAGTCTGCTATAAATAAAGACCTAATTCATCATAATTAATATGTTGTTATCAAATAAGTGGTAAATAAAATTATAAGGCATATTTGCATATAGATTTATGTGAAACATCCTGTGTATGCATAATTAATAAATTTAGTTAATAAAAATATAAAAAGTCTCTTCGCCGAGACTGCACGCGCCTTTGCAATGCATCTTTCACAAATTCTTTATGAAGGCGTGAGCTATCATCCTGATGTATCCGATGCAGGATATATGGTATGTTAATCAAATGCAAAGCCAACCGCGTGTGGGTTGAATATAAATGAAGTTAAGGTACTGTCACGTTTACGCGATTTATCAACTTGTCAATTCTTTGTCCAAAAATCATTTTCTTAGCACTTGAGATTAAAATAATTTAGTTATTTATTTATTTATTTTTCTCCAAACATAAAATTCGTATCTGACATAAAATTCAATAAAATTTTCTTTTTTAAATTGTGTAAAGCTGAAATTTACTTGTAAAAATTTTTTATTTATATTTATTTGTTACTCCAAAAACATCAATGTTGAACGTATACAAAATATATGAATATATTCATATTAATTTTAACAATATCAATTTCTTTATATATTTTTTTGATTATTGAATGTTATTTATTATATAATATGTAACTAAAGTAATAACTAATAAAATTAATATATTATTAAAAATGTCTTATTTAAAATTATCCACATATTATTATTAGTTATATAAAATTAGAAATGATGATAAACAATCTTTATAATATTTTTTAATAAATTTCTTATTAAATTAATTAAGGAACACCTACTTTTTAAATTATCCAAAAAAATTTCTAGATAAAATGTAGTAAAAACGCCTCATACGTGGTTAATGAACTATATCTCGAATACTAATACGCGGTAGTGCAAATGGATTACCCTGACGAAGCAAGAAAATATAATTAAATTATCACAAATGGCCCACAATTGTATAACAGTGTTATTGTTTGACGTAGTCAACACAGGAACAGACGATTCAGATGGAGAACTCAGTGCTTAATATGCATCATGCGTGAGAGAAAATTATGGGCATCGCCTAATTCGTCTCACTAAAGCTGAGCGTGAAAACAATGTATAAAAGGGTGGGGCCTCGAAATAAACAGTATGATTTCCTCTAGAGAGAAACTTTAGGCAGTCGTACGTCGTCATCCGCCGACTCGTGTTCGCCGTCGCGATATGAAGGGGCAAAGATCTTGTCTTAGAACAAAATCGAAATGTGCGTAAATCGAGCAATCGCCGGCAAGCGTTCAATAGATCGTTTCGAGTTAAAAGATTGAAGTTAAAACGTGTACAGCATCAAAAAGGTTGCGCATTTTCGATGTTTTATTATTCGAAAACGTTCGATTGATTTCGGATTCGATCACGAAGAAAGGATGGCTGACGTCTACGCTAGTCCTCGATTAAGAAGACGAAACCGGCCAAACTTTTTAGATCTTTCCGCAATAACGCGTAAGTCACACTGCAATAAAATTATCGAGGATGTGCAAATTATATGTTGCGCAAATTGTGAACGTGAACGCATATATGTACCGATAATCCGCAAAAAAACAAACTGCATATCTTAGAAAGAATCTTAGAAGTCATCTGATGTGTGTCTTTTCGAGAGCGTTGATCTTTTTGCAGCAATTATCATCGTTCAAGAGCGACTCGCGACCCACGTGCATTACAAATTGGCTGTATTTCCCGTGATATTATCGTTGCAGTTTGCTCATCAGGTCAAGTTTGTTAAACACCGTTAATAGTCAAGATTGAGATAAAATTTACGAATCATAATTTTTATGACATTTGTGTATTATATTTTGAGAATAATGTATAATAAAACTAAAATTAATTTTATAATATGTAAAAAGTAGATAAAATTATTTCACAAACATAAAAGATTTAAAATAATTTTAATATTGTTTCTATATATAATATAATTTAAAATTATTTCTTTATGTGCAATCAAGATTCACCTTCAAAAAGAGCATAAAACTAGAATTTTTACATTTAAAGAATTCAATTATTTTTATTACTTGCCATCAAATTTATTATTATTATAAAATAATTTTTATTACTTAATTAATTTAATTTATTATTAATTATTTAATTGAGCGTATCGCATAAAATACATATGCGTCTTATGTTTTCTTTAACAGTTAATGTTATTAAAATTACACTACTTTGTACAAATATTATAATGAATGTTAAATGAAATAATAAATATAAAAGTTTGATGCGATGACAGAGGCAATGAGATACAAAAATTTGCAAGAGTCATGCTTCTCGCAGAACTTTTGCTCTTCATTATACTCAGCTTGTAGTTCTAAAGTTTTAATAAGACAAAGTGATAAACAAAAATAAACACACACAGTGAACTTTTTAATCCTAACTAATTAAATAACTTTTTAGTTGTAAACTCGGATAAACTAGAAAAGTTGAAATAAAATCAATCAAGTTGAAATTTTCAAGCGAAAAAAAAAACATGTTCCTTGTTCTCTTTTAATTCTACCGTTGTTAAGTTTTATTTATAGACATTTATCTACGCAGTAAAGATATTTCTCAATTGACAGTATTACGAATAATATGTAAATGCTAACGCATATTGCATGTGGAGAATATAGATCGTCGGAGAAAGACAGCATTAACGCTATGAGTAATGTATTAGAACTGTATGACGCACATATGAAATTTACTCTGAGTCTAAAATGAGTTCAATTTCATTTCACGAGTAATGAATTTAACTAAAGCCGGAAGCACCGAAAATGGAAGCCACGTGCCTCAGGTACTGGCAGGGTATAAAAGTTATTATACACTGCGCTAATAGAATAAAGATTACCAAACTTTTCATGTACTTCTGTTATAAAAAGTTTATATAAAATACAGCCTTTGCTTGTTATTTTGTAAAATGTTCTTCATAAATAAGTTTTTTTAGAAAAAAAGAATAAAATGTCAAAATTTTTGTATATATGTGATAAATTAATATTAAATACATAAGTGATAAAAAAGCTAATATAAATAATAATTTGTTGCTGCAAACATTCAGTTAGGACAATATTGTATCTATATGTACTATTAAATATCAGCAATATCACGTTAAATTCGTTCAATTGATTTGAATCATTGGCCGCGCGGCATGTGCTGATTTGGCATCAAAATTCTGCGGAATCATTTCGTCGTTCTATGATCATTGTTTTTGCGTGTAGCACGAAACGGCCGCGTTATCCACATTATTTCATCAAATGTATTATGGCCACATCACGTGTGATATGCGTCATATGAAATTAAATGCGTTCCCTTTGCGTCACGGTAAAGCTAAATCAAGGTTGCTTTTGACACACATACAAAAAACATTCTAGAAATTAAAGAGCAACATAAATAATAATTAAAAAAAAAAAATAAACTTAATCAAATTATTAATTACTTCGCAAACAAATAATACATTTTAATATTATTTTATCAATTATTTATTAATTAAATTATCTAACCGTTTTTATTTCCAGGAATTCCTTTATTCCTTTATTCTTTTTTTTTTTTTTTTTTTTCCGCTTAAGCAAAAGCATATTTTGCCATTCATGTTTTTATTTAAAAACATAATATTTCTTTGTACGTTCTGATATGAGAATTAATTTTATCTGATCTAATATTATTAAATTATACGATTATATTGATAAATTATATTGATTATATAACTTATTATTAATTATATAACTGATTTAATATTTGAATTGCTCATTTCAGGATCTCATTCAGCAACGGCCCTACCGAAAGAGGGACGTGCAGAAGACGATGTTCTCTTCGTCTCTAGCAAAGAAAGCGATGCTTCCAATCTGTGGGTTAGCTATTTAACAGCATGTTTTGAACAAATCAGCCGTCAACAAGGGCGACCTCCGTTCAAGTAAGTGTGAAACAAATTTTTTGATGATTTTCCTCTATAACTTTGATTCGACTCACAATAAATAAAACTCTGAAATCGGGAAAGAAAAAATTTCTAATAATAATTTGTTTTCTTCTTTTTGCATCAGAGTACGTCACATAGCGATTGAAGAGTCAATAGCTCCAAAAACTGAGGAGAAAATCCGATCTTCTCGTCTCCAGATCGTTGTCGTGTGTCCGTTATTACTAGAACGAGTCCGCACTAATCCGGAACATGCCGTCCATCTAACCAGCCATCTGGTCGCTGAACGAGTACTCGCGATGATGCTAGGCGTTCATGACAGCCACATCAACGATTGCCATAGATCTAGCCTAGTTTCTTACGATCGATATAAGAAATTTTTCGTAAAGGATCAGGACGAGACGTTCGTAGGCGAATTATTGGGAGCGGCAGTCACGATTTTAGGCACTACGCCGCCGTCAGCCCTCAGAAGCGACAAAACTGCATTCTCCGTACATCCGAAGAAAGTCAAGCTAGTAAGTAATTATGATATCTATATTTGTAAAAAATTTTCGAAATATTTGGACAAATTTCACTGGATGTGAGTCTCAAAATGCAAGCGTACTTGCGTACGTTCTTTTAATAATAAATTTTTTTGAGAAAATTTTCTTTTTCATCGAAAATGTCGAAACAAATCATCTTTTGTTACATTCTTGCAATTTTTGATATCATATATTTTTGCAAGCTTGTAAAATTTTAATTAAAATTCTATCTTTTAATTAAAATTTATTTAGTTAAACAAGAAGCCTTTTTTCACAATTTAGTTATAATTCGGAAAGTATCGGCAGATATCTCAACATTTTTATTCAGAAAAAAATTGTTTCCAAACTTGTTAGAAAACCTATCATTAAAAGAACACCCGTGAGACTTACAATATCCTGTATACGGAAAAAGATAAGAAAAGTCGAACATATCATATCGAAATCGAACTAATGTCAAAAAATGTGACCAATGTTATAAAAATACTTTTACAAGTATGAAAGTTTAAAATAACAAAAAATTTATATGTATCTGCAGGGACAAAACAGGATAATTGTTTTGCTGAACGATCCATTGACTTGCGAGGATAATGTCTCAGTGATCGTTGATCGTTGCGGCGATGCAATCGAGATAAACAATGTGAAAAGAAGAAATCCTTACACTTTGCAATTTTCTATACCGGAAAGATGTCTCGAAGTGTCAATGCTAGTCGGCGTGAGAATATCTAAGAACGGATGCTCGCTCGGTGTTAGGCAAGTCAAGTGCGAGAGCAGACTCAGAGAATTAGATCAGATCCTCAGATCGCACGACAACCCTCTCGAATTTATGTGCCAGGTAATTTTAATTGATAATTTTTATGAGAATTAATTTAATACTGATCTACAATAACAAAATCAAATTTGATCTCCATATAAGTGGGGCCATTTTATTTAAAAAAATTAATAATAAATAATACGTGTATAAATACGTGTATAAACTGTGTATATTACAAGACGTTTAGCATTGAGAAGTAATAGATGTTATTGTTATGTTTTTTATCTTTCGCAGACCTTCGGCTTCGGTTCCACTGATCGGGAACAGTTGGATAATTGGATGGTCCACGCATTTCAAAAAAACATCCCTCCTCATTTTAATCTGTTGTCCACTCCAAGCGGTATGGTGCCCACTCATAAAAATTACACGAGTAAGTAGCCTCTAACTTTGAATAAAGCTACATTATTTAAACGAATTTTATTGACAAATAAAAATGATAACAAGTAAAAATTTTTTATATTTTTTAAGACCGATATTTTCGAGCGATTATTTTCTATTCTTCGGTTTTAGGTCCGGAAGAAAATCCGACATTGCTGCATTTCGCCGCGCGGTTTGGCTTGGAAAAACTGGCCTGGCAATTACTCGAATGTCCTGGCGGTGATCTAGCATGCGATTTGAAAAACATTGCCGAGCTAACACCGACCGATCTCGCCGAGCAAGCCGGGCACGCGAGGCTGGCTCATCAACTGCGGGGCTACATGGTACAAAAACCTCGCCTTTAGACCAACGTCGCAAATAGTCGAACGCAATCGGTACTACCGCGATATTTTATTCTTCGCTTTTCTCAAAACCTGACGCCCATTACGCGTGCTCGCCTTATACAAGAAGTTTCAAAAGTAAGATACACTAAAAAAAAAGTAATAAAAGTTTTATTTTTATTTAATGAACATAAAATGAGATTTACTTTTTACTTATTTCTTTAAATATTCTCCAAATAGGTTCAAACATTTCTGTCAGCGAAATAGCAGGATTTTGAGATAAATGCTTAAACCCGTTTGAAGATTATGTGGAAAAATAAATATGTAAGAAGTAAATTGCATTTTTATATATGTTCACTAAGTAAGAACAAAATAATCGTTTTTTTTTTCTTGAAGTGTGTCTTACTTTTAAAATTCCATCGCTTTATCTTAGAATAGAAATAATCGAGAAAAAAAATTGCGCGAATTCGCATGTTACTCATTTAATATTTTTTAAGTGGTCGATGAATTAACCAACATATTGATTCTGTATTGCATGTTTCGGGCGTGACTTTGAATCTCGATGGACGAAATACCAGCAAATGAACGAGTTCAGCAAAATGTATAACTATCTCAAAGTTATAAGCCAGACAACGAACAGGTCTACAGGTATTAAGCAGTATATTATAAGAATAAATTTTGGAACAAGATTTTCGAGTTAATTTTTTATAAAAATGGATATAAATCGAATAATCTTGCTCTTCGAAAAGTTTGAATAACTTTTAATATTATCAAAATATAAATAAAAAACATTCAACAGCTTGTCTAATAAAATAATGGATAATATTTGAAATTATTAAAAGAATTATTTTCTAAATATTCGGTTAATCAGAAAATTTCTTTGAATTTTTTAATAAAAAGAAAAGACAGAATTGCGTATCAACGCAATATTAAATTTGCCTTTATTTTTGTCGAATAGGATATTATATTTTCGTAAATAAATTTATTCATATTTTTGATATATTTTTTTCTGTAGAATTATTCTCTCTTCATACTACTAAACCACACACATCGTGTATAAAAACAACCAGTAAAAAACTTGAAAATAAAACAGTGCATTATCTTTGATTCCTGAGAGAAGTTTAAAAGATGATGTGTGCTTAGGAACGGATTCAACCGCTGATGCTTCATCAATGGTTGCAAGTGATGCCAGCAACGACAAGGAAGATTATTGTCGGCCAAGACCTTTGAGTGAGGCTTACTTGGTGCCACCAGTTGCAAGACCAGTAATAGCTCCGATCCCAACCCTGCAAACGACTATGACCACTAGTACGACCGCTAACAACTCCTTAACCGCGAATTACTCGATTGTGCCGACACCTACGCCAGTAATGTTGCCAGCAACACCCACAACTTCTATCACACCGAATGGCCTGGACCTGCCTCTTCAAGGTTACATGAAAATGTATCCCGCCGGTAAATATCTTGATATTAAAATTTTTTATACTTTTATATAAAAATATTAAAATTATATCTGAAATTATGCTGCAAATTATATTATAGATCGTCTAAAATAGGTTTTACAACAAAATTTAATTTGCGAGAGAATTCCAAATACAATTTATTTATAATCTTATGTATAAAACATTTCAAAAATTAGAATACATACGTATATAAATTGTATATCAATAATATACAAACATATTGTGTATATGTGTGTATTCTGGTATTCTTTAAATCTTTTTATACTACGTATAAAATTATAAATAGGATTCTATCTCAAATTTTATTGCGAGTTATAAATTGCTAAACTAGGTTAATCGTAAAAATTCCCATATTTTGATTATTTGTTAATAATAATATTAATAACAAAGAAAATAAATTATAATTTTTATTTGATTGTTTGCAAAAGTGAGTATATGCGTAAAAAATTTTTCATGAAAAAGACTAATTTCTTTTTAATTTGAAAGGTTCAAAAACACCTACAACGAACCTACCACCTTCTCGAACAGGTACACCTACGCAAGGTACTCGCCAAGAGTATCATCAGAATTCCTCGGGGACGCGAGACGACAATTGCAGTCAGAAAATGTGTCAGCATATTTCTTACGGTAGAACATCATCTAACAGCAGCACCAAATCCAGGGAACCGTCGGGCCCTCAGGATGAGCTTCTGGAGATTATAAACGATTTCAAAAACAACGTCTTTACGATATCCGAAGTGGAGAGACTCGTCGAGAACTGGCAGAAGCGAAACGACGTGCAACAAAGCTTCAAGGATAAGCAGCGGCAGCTGACGGCAATGAGAGAGGAATATGACAGGATACAAAAGCAGCTGAAAGAAGAAATGAAGACCCCGACGCCCTTCGATAAGATACGAAAATTCTTCTCCAAAGGAAAGAAAGGCAAGTGTCATTGGAGTTTAATAGTTTTAGAATTTCTTTCTTTTGTTTTGTTGACTGAACGGGATGACAACTAAAATTGATTTTTATTACAGATACAAAGGAATCTGTTAATGCTGTCACAGATTCGTCTTCGAGCAAATCCGAAAACATTAACGGTGGATTAATTGATCGCCGGCCTGTTAGCAGTTTAAGTCTTCGTAGCGTCTCCAGTAAGTATGATCTAATATGATCTAATATAATCTCAAAAAACTATTATAATATTTTTTATAAGAATGTTTTTATAATGTTAGAAAGTTTGTAAAACAGATATTTAAAACGCATAAAAAAATATACATATCTTGGACGTCTTTTAGATCTGTAAAAGCTATCATAATATGTGCATTGTTACGTAATAGTTGGACCCATTTTTTACGAGTTTATACAATTTTATAAATTCTTTTAGGTTCGTCCTCATCTGGTAGAATGAGCACTGTCAGCGGTTGCAGCGGCGCTAGTTTAGGCGACAGTAGTACTCATTCCGATTCCGAAGACAGAAGAGTAAGTAATATATTAAATGACACAAATTAAAAAGAATCTATTCAATTTAACTAACTATTAATCGACAGAATAAATCAGAGAAACGACAATCATCAGGCATATACATATATTGGTACATTTTAATTTCTGAAGCAATCTCACAACACTTGTGTTTTTTTATTTGTATGTAAAAATTATGCTATTTTTTTTTTAAGTATTTAATGTCCTTGACTAGCTTCAAAAACACTTCTCGATTAAAATACTTTTAAAATCCAAGATTAGTTTTGCCTTACATTTTTGAAAAATAATGTTTAAGAAATTATACATCAAAAGACTAGCATAGCAAGTCATTGTTACAAATTAAATTTACGATTTGTTTCTAGCTCCAAAATGTTAGGGACGAGAAGACCGGCATGATGTCCTACGAGATACCACCCGCTCCTAAACCGTTCACCGGAAGATATTCACCGGCATCCAGATATTCTCCATCACCAACTATCCCTATTGTACGTGATCTCGATCTCCGACAAACACTATCATCCCGGGCCAGCAACAACGAATATTACATCGCATTCCCTCCATCAGGATTGCCCGTGCATGGTAATTTTCAATTAATAATCGACAATCTATAATTTCGAATTTATTTCTATGTATCAATTCATTTCTATGTATTCAAGATGACATCTGAACAAAATTAGCCAATAACATAACAGCCCAAAACAAATTCAAAGTCGTCTTAAAAAAAATGAGATAATTTTCAAGATATTTTAACAATGTCTTTTGAAATGTTCTTTAAACATTTAAGATAATAGAAATCTCAAAAATGAGTAATTTGCAATCCAAATTTTTTTACAGCGTTTAAAGCGGACGGTTCTCCGAGAGAATTAAATACACCAACTTCGCCATGTGAACATTCGAGGTATCACGATTTCGTTCAGAACGTCGCCGTTTCGGCGGATAAACAGCAAGAAGAAAGCGATATAATGAAAGCCAACGTCGTTGGCAATAACAATTACACAAATATCGATCCGTCGACGCCGAATTCTATTCCAATCGCGCCATCAGGCATGTGTATCCCAGATTGTACGAGCGACGGCGAATCAACATCTGTCAATTCGACTCAAATGGCAAACGAGCATCACGGTGATTCTACCGACACCGCCGAGATATATCCGGATACTGCGATGATAAAGCCATCGCTCGCTCAACCGGATGTCGACGAGGTCGATTCCGCACTCGTTATTCGGGGTCAGGAGACCGCCGAGATAAAATACGACCAAGGACAAGTGCCGGCGGACACGACAAATGTTTCGAAAACTACGAACGAGGTCACTGAGAACAGAGTGCCAGAATACATGAACCTTACTAATATAGGTCACGATGTCAAGGTCCTCGGCGCCATACCAAAGAAACTGCCCGCACCACCCGTGCCTCCGAGAGGTATGTATATATAATTTTACATATTTAATAAATGTGCAACGCGAAATGCAATAATTCTTGTGTTGATGATTTAATCAATATTGGGGATTAAAAAATATACAGATATCTAAAAAATCGTAAATGTTCTTTTAATGAGATTTTCTGATCAATTTGCAGTTAGTTTTTTCTCGACGAAAAAAAGGAAAGAATTATTTATCTCATTTTCTTAATTTTTAACTTTTCGAATTTTCTTCCATTTTTATGCCTTGATGTTAGAAATATTTAAAAAATATTTGATAAATTTGATAAACTTGAATTTTTAATGAAAATATTAAAAAAGATTATTAATTGAAATTTTGTAATTTTTAACATTATATATCTTTTCAGTTAAACTTTAAATTAAAATTTTATTAAAATTTAAAATTAACTGGAAAATATATGATATGATTTATTTTGATAAGTACATATTATATGCATTTGTCCTTTTGAAATTTAGTTTGCAAAAAGTCAAAAACTATCAATGTCTCAACATTTTTATTGAAGAAAAATTGATTTAAAATTGATTAAAAAATCATTAAAAGAATCCATGAATATTAACATTTTATATAAAATTTTTAATACTTATAATATTGATAATATGTATATAAAAAGTCTGTAGATCTGAACTGTATTGAATAAAATTCTCAAAATTAATTAATAGTTGTCGACAGATGCTAGCGATAAATGATTAAAATTATGCAAAATTTTTTTCTAAACATTTCTAAATGTTACACTCGATTTATATATATATATATATATAAATAGATTCTGCAAAAGATATTTTGATAATTATTATATGTAATTCTTTTCAATAACACGTAGATATTTCAGTTACATGCGAAATGTGAATCACTGATTGATTGCAACAAGTTTTAATTCTGCAAGAATCATTTCCCGGAACTAAATATCAAGAAAAAATGACTGGATTCTGAGAATGCGCGATTAAGAAATATGTCAGTGATTCATATGAATGTATTCTCGAAACTGCGAAACCGTTTAAAGAAGAGTTATTATTTAGCAGCTTGTATGATAAAATAATGGGACAAATAAGCTGTTTACCGGTATATTAATCGATTGAATTATTCGATCATTGAAATATGAGTTTTATCAATTTGTTTCAATGCTATTATAGTCATAATATCGTGTAATGGACAATTTAGTGATTTTAAAATACAAATTATAATTAAAATATGTATTAAATTTATAACGTGACTAATTAAATAATTAAATATATACGTAATAAAATATTAAGACACATATATGAAAGTAAATGTAATTACAATAATCAAATCAATAAAAGATAAATTTTTAATTATGTATATATAATTATGTATTTCTTTATAATTAATTCCATTAAATAAGCAATATTATTATTTAAGATCTGTTTTTAATAAATTCTCTTATTATTTGTTGCAGTTACGACTAAGAAGTAGAAAACAAGGCATATGAAAATATTCATTGGCAAGTTTTATGCAATTATATACTACTTATGTAAATTATATACTCTGTATTTTACGCACATTAAATCGCAACTGAACTATCGTATATAGACACTGAGAGAAAAGAATAATTGCAGTAACCATAATCTATAGTGTTTTTTAGCGTCAACCATATTTTTATAGATATTCTAGCCATATGATTGATTATATGATTGGCAGTACTATATGTATAAGATTATTATTGCTAACATTACAGTAACAATTCTTATAAAAATGTATTCTGACTATAATCATAGATCCATACAATTATAGTCCCAAATATCACACACTTTTCTCTCAGTGTTAAAAAACTAATGTTAAAGAACATTAGTCAATATAAGATTCATGTGTGTATCTCGATGTACTCCAAAACTATATCTCTGTGACATAATATATTTGTCTATGTAAAAGAATACTCGTTGAATGTGTGCAAATATAGCCATTATTACAACTCGCACATACACAAATTTTTATAGAGCAAAAAAATGAAAATTTACAAATATTCAAAAATATACATGAAAATTTAATGCCTACATTTTATTTAATCGTATAAAACGATTATATTATAATTTATATATCCAAAATATTATAAAAATAATCACAATACCAAATATAAGAGATACTTCTCATGATCTCAATTTTAATGAAAAATTCTTTGATAAATATAAAGTTAAATTTTTCAGGAAACAAGATGGTTGCGATAAATTACGCAGTCATATTATTCAACATTTTTGTTACGGAAGAAATAAATTTATATTGCAAAAGCAATATATACTGAAGCAATATATCATTAAAATTACGATTGTGTGCGAGTTTTTCTATCTATTAACTTTGTAATGTCTGACGTAAATCAAATTGATCAGTTGTAAACTATATACCGATAAATTATATAATGATAAGGCAGAATTTCATGAACTTTGCATATAAAAAATATTTTTAAAAATTTAATCCAAATCCAAGTTTTTAATAAAAACTTTTGTTCCGGGATGCAAAGGTGTCAATAGTTAATATAAGAAATGTAATTGCATCCATAAAATTATGTTACGCACTTTATTTATTTTTTCACATATATAGCATACAAATATGTAACGATTACTTATCATGTTTGCCATATTCCTCCTTTGCATATTAATAATAAAATGCAAAATCGCAGACGCATAAAGATTGTAAATGCACCTTTGCACCCCTCTTTCTGATTACGCTCGTGCAAATCAACTTCCAAAAATATTGTACTATTTTTATATAATTTTAAGTTGACATTAAACAACGATATATTAAATTAGTACTAAATTAGCATTAATTAAATTAATTATTTCCGTAATCTTTATATTTTTCTCGACTTCTCAGGTACGGAGAGGCTTGAGTACCAATAATGCATTTATTATTAATTTTAAAAGTAATGCGTAATTATAAAAATTTTATATCATTTTTTATTACGCCTGCCGACAATTTTATTTTATATTTATATATGTATTAGCAAATTGATGAAAAATATAGAAATATATCCAAAATGTAAAATTCAATTTTTTATTGATTACAACTCAAATTCTGTTCATATTCACACTAAATTCATATATCTTAATATTTTTATTAAGAAAAAAATTTTTATTTTACACGAATATATAGTTACGTATAAATCTCTATGTAAATAACTTGAAAAAACTGTTTTAAAATAGCAATCTCCATTTGAATTACAAAGGAAATAAATACAACCTACAACGATTCAAAAACCACTTCTTCCGGTTAAACTCTCATTAATTTAAGTCCTAATTAGTTGCGGTTTATCACAAACATTTCTCAGTTGTGGCAGCCAAATCAGACGCATATCCGATACCCATAATCAGAAAAAATGATAAAACAAAAATAGCTATATGCTAAAGAAATTCATTGCATGCAACACAATTGCAAACAAAGTTTTCTTTACAACTCTTTACAAAAATATTTTACAAATATTTAAATCTTTTTTTATCAGATTAAAATTATTAAAACAAATATTTCATATTATTTTGGAATTGCATAGAATTTTTAATATAATTACACAAAAATTACATTTATAATAAATCTATAAAAAAATATTTCTTTCAAAAATCTGATTATCAAGATTCCCATAATGTTTAAATTGACTTCACATCATTATAATTAATTGCTATATGTACAAAACCAACGCAATAAATTTTAACATAGACCTATATATCTTCATAAATTATTTTTTTAAATATATATAAAATAATTTTGAATTAATAATTGTTTTTTTCAAACGTGTATCTATAAAATTGTGTGCAAGAATAAGTGGAAGTGTGTGAACGATCGTGAGAGGGGGAAAAACGAAGCTGACGACGATAGGCATATATATATCAGAGGTACCATTCTGCTGAGTGGTAAAAACGAGAAGATCATCTTTGCTACCAGCTACTTTTTCCGAGTGAAAAGTATGACGCAATAAAATCGCAGTAAGTATACGTTTTAAGTGTACGTTTAAATATAAAACGTTTCTCATTCGTAGAATTTTCTCATAAATAGTGCACATAGAAAAATAGTGAAACGTGGAAGATAAGAGAAGGAAATAAGAAATCGCATTGAAAGCGATTTTTTGAATACTGAATATAAACATCAAACTAAACTATTAATATCAATAATAAAATTGTTTATAAATCTTTTATTTCGCTTAATTTCTTGAATTTGTAGAAAAGTGAGAAGGAAACATATAAATGAAAATCATTGCTGCTGAATGATATATTGTTTTACGTTTTGCACATTATTTCCTTGATTAAAACAATAAAACTGAAAAAGAGGAATATAAGAAAAATTCTGAAAAATGCAATTAAAATATTTTATTTTATCTTAAAAAAAGAAGCAGAGTACAATTATAATTGCATTCGGATACATTGTAAGACAAAATAGAAGCTTTTAACGCATTTTTTCAAAACAGAGTTTTTTCTTATATATCTTTCTTTTTTTCTATCTCACTGCATAAATTAATAATAGAATTATATTACATAATATTATTATTAATTTAATACATTTCTGTGGGCAAATTCTAGATTTCAACAAAAAGTTTAAATAATTTTATATACATATTTAGAAACAGAAACGTTATTACGATTCATTATTATATCGAATTGTTCAATGTGTTTATTTCTATATAAAATATTTATCTCACTTGCAGCCTTCGATACGCAAGATCACAAGCAAGTATCTCGAAAATAGCAAAAAAATGAAATTGCTAGTCGTATCACTAGTCTTTGCGGCCACGATCTCTATTGCGAAAACACAAACCCGATACGTGGCGAAACCAGGTTCGTGTCCACCTGCCTTACCTGTACAATTCTGCGGACGTTCCTGCTACCTTGACGCGCATTGTGCTGGAATCGGCAAGTGTTGTCCGACTCAATGCGGCGGTACTATTTGCTCCATGCCCGTCACGATGACGCGACCTCCTCAAACAGGTGAGTAATTTCTGCATTAAGCCAGCTTAGTCAATCTGAAACATAAATATTTGTATGTGATTTTAGTGCAATTGTAAAACTTACAACGTAAAATTTTATTTTATTTTTAAATTATTTTTATTTATAATCGTTATCCAAGACTATATGTATATTTTCCTCAATAATATTCTGCAATATAACGTTATGTTCATTTAATTTCTACTTCTGTTTTTATCGTAATTGATGAGCAGAATACTGTTAGAAAGAAAATTATTGTGCTAATAATTCCTTCAAAAAATTTTCAGAGAAACAAGGATCTTGCCCATCGATACCGACAGGAAGATGGGTATGCTCATCAACTTGCAATAGTGACAATGATTGCAGAGGAAATCTAAAATGCTGCAAAAACAGATGTGGCGCTTTAGCTTGTCAAAAACCGGAAATTGAAGTACTTGAATCCACCGATATTCCAGTTCAACCGGTTGCTCCGCGCTTTGGAAATGATGATTACAATCATTATATTTAAACTCGATTTTTTATTATTACTATATTTATAATAACTAATTTTATCAATAATAATTATAACATAACAAGCATTTTTTTCGTTACATATAAGCAATAAAGCAATTTTGTAGCATTTTATGTGAAATTGTAGTATTTTTTGTGAGATTAATGTTTCTAATTCTGTATCGAGATTTATGTTATATTACCTAAGAAAACATTATTTATATATTTTTCTACAAAATGTAATTATATTTTAATCTAGTTAATAACTTTCATTCATCTTAATGATATGTAAGTTCTTTTACTATTTTATTTTCATAGTAAATGTCCCCAAATATTGTTATTGATATTATTAAATAATAAATAAATCTTTTATGCTTGCTTAAAGTACTGCAAAGAACAAATTGCAAAAATAAATATAATAATATTAAAATTTTTTAAAATTATTTTCTGAATATTTCTTTATCTGTTGCATTTGTATAATAAGTTTATACTACCGAATATATTACCAAAATAAATTAACAAAAATTACATCAGTAAAAAGGAAGTTATTAAAATATCCCAGAGATACGTTTAATAAATCAGTATTCGTCGATAATTCTAGCATGACATAAGCAAAGGCCAAGGCTGTGCAAAAGACAACATCAAAAGAAATACATTTGTCATATCAGTGACGGATCTATTGGTGCACACAAAACATATTGCTTCTTAAATTTTAATGTTTTCTTCTTAACTCTAAAATTTTTGTTAATTTTTGTTGATTTTTGTTAAAATAAATTTTGTTACATATGTATATTTTTTTCAGAAATATTATATTTATAATGTAAGTGCCTTTTATATTAACTTTAATAATAATAATGATTAATAAATAATATAATGATTAATTAATACTTATTAAACCAATTATCTTTTACTAGATATGCATTTTCTCTGAATTCTGATGTGAGTTTTATAAAAGATTAAATGTTATAAGTTTTCTCTCAGTCGTCGATGATAATTAATGATTATCCGATTTTAAAAAATAAGCATGTCTCATTATTATTGCAAAGTAAAAAAATTAATGTTAGTTGCATAATTAAATTGCATAGTGGCGCATAAAATTTCGCGTTTGTATCTTCATTCTGTCATCGCTTACGTCATCATGCAACATGATGAAAAGGTATGTAAAAATTCAAGTATACTAAAATAGTATTATAGACGAGTTCCTATCGTAATTTACTTTGCATTTCCCATTCGTCTTGCTTGCTCAATGTCAAAGTAGAGGTGGAAAGTATTTAAAAGCTGATGCGTTTATCTCCGCGCGTTTAGAAGTCTCGTTGTAACCGAGAACTATAGTCAGTATTCATAAGAATCGTCGCGTTACGATCCGCAAAATGAACCGTGAGTATTTATACGCTGTATAGCCTTGAAAGTCATAATTGCCATTACGCATTTCTTCGCAGTATGTAATGCGCAATGTTCTACCTTATTAGCATACTTAACATATATTATTTGCACTTGAATTATACGTACGCAGAGAAAATTTTATATGAAAAATTGTTATGTACGACAGTAGCTGCGGACTGTGAAGAAATTATAAAAATTTTTACTATATTTTTCACAGAATAGCCATAGTATTTAAACTTATAATTCGTCTTATAGTTCGCGGCTACTGCCATATCATAGTAATCTTTTATATAAAATTTTCTTCGTGTAACAAAAGATTTTTTTTTTGTAGATTTGTAGATTATATTAATATAGAATTTGCGACTCTTTTTGTAGGAAGTTTATCGTTCTTTGCAATACTGCTAATCTTAGTAGTGGCCGGCACGTTTGCTCAGTTCGGTAAGTAAATATCAATAATTAAATGCGAAAACAGTAGAACTGTAATACATTCTTGCATACATAATTTTGGAAAAATATATATAGAAAAAATTATATAAAATTATTTTTAAAAAAATTATTAAAAATAGAATCATGTGAAAATAAGAGAAAGTATTAATCCTGTATCAACTCTCCATGATTAACAAGAGTAAATCATAGAAATTCTCATTATTAACAATATTACATTACAATTATTCTTTAGGTAGAAGCGGCAATTGTCCAATGAAAAACACCGTGACTAGTTGTGCCCCTAGATGCACAAGTGATGAACTATGCCCTTCCAATCAAAAATGCTGCCCTAATAAATGCGGTCATAGATCGTGTGCCTCAGCAGGTGCCATTAATACCGGCAACGATGGTGGATACAAAGGCTCGAGTAGTATGTATAAAAATTACAGTAACTTATTTTCTGCCCTCCCCTCCCGATTCCGCGGCGCCAGAACCAAATTCCGTTTGAAAATTACTACAATATTTTAATCAATTGTAGCACGATTGTTTGAATTCAAGTATTTATCTATTAATAAGTTGCATCTTTCGGCACACAAAAATATATCATAATGCTAAATAATAATGTAATAAAGACATAAAAAGGAAAAGAAAGTGTATCAGATTATTAATAACTTTATAAACCGCAACAGAAAAACACGGTTAGGATCTGTCGATAATTTTCAAAAAGGAAACAGAAAAACGCGATATATCACATCTTGGTAGCCAAACTATTAAATATTGAAACGTCTCTCTCAAAATAAGTTAAATAAACTACAAACCCTTATCGAGTTCTTCAAATTATACTTTAAATTATAATAATTGTGTTCTCTTACATAACCTTTTTTTGCAGATCAAGCTGTTTACTGCAATGGAGTAAAATGTGCCGCGTACGAAAAGTGCCAGTATGACCGCAATACTAGGCGTGACAAATGCACACGCACTTAATTACTTTTCACATTAAAACCAAGAGTTTTAATAACTTTCACTGATAAATTTTTTTGCAAAACTAGAGATTATATGCCAAAACATCTTACAAAAAGAAATTGTAAATGTACACACGGTCACAGGAATGCCTTAACACATGAACTTGCACGAGTGTGAATTCACAAGCCAATTCAAATGTGCCTTGACACTCGTTGACAAATTCATGTGTTAATGATCCAACTCATGCAAAAAGTAAAAAATAGGCTGATTAAATAATAAAATTTTGTTCTACTGGTTTAATCAAGAGCAAAATACAGCTTTATATAGTTTAGATAACACGCGTGTGCAAAAAACATCGCCAAAAATAATTGAGCTTATTTCCTTTGCTTTATATATTGCGCTTATATTCAATCAAATGCTTGTACGTCACGGAATTAATGATTAAAAAATTAAATAATGCATGCCAACATGTTTAACCTCAAAAAACATTTGTAACTTTAATTGCAATGTATCTTCGATAATTTCCCAGACAGCACAGCATATCCAAAAGATGTCCAGAGAATATCCCGAAGACGTTTGTGGGATGACAGGACGTCCTCTGGGTATCCTTTAGATGTATTTTGGACATGTGTGCTGCCTAGGTTATTTTTATTTTTGAATTTATTTGATACCAATTATATATAATTCTCAATAAACAAGTAACTTTTTGATAAAATATATCTGAATGTTTTAAATATGTACCTGTATGTGCGTCGATTTAGCGATATACACCTGCATAAAAATAACGTTGTCTATTAGACACTATTAAGTAACTTATTCTTTGATTTGAAGTTTGACATACTTCTTAGCGCAATTGTGGTTGAATGTAGTCGTTCGATCCATTGATAATCGATTCTTCTCGCACTTCGATAATTACCAAATCGATACGGATGATACCTGTCAACTTGTATCAACGTAGAAGGGATGCAGGTTATGTTCTAAATAGATCTGAATTTTCTTCAATTTATTGAAAAGTCGTATCTCACACAAGAAAGACGTTGGACGATGTGAACGTTTGATCACACTTGTTTAATTCACAAAATGGATCGCCGGTTTTGCATGAGTATCCGGTAACCGCATGAATATCCGTCTTCCGGCTCCGCAGAGAGGTTAGCCGACTACCAAAAATGGCTGTGGAATTTTTGATAAATCGGCTGAAAGCCCTGCTCGTATTACTTTTCGGCATATTTAAACGTGCCATGTGTTGTCTTCGACGTCGAAGAAAATCGTCCTGTGACTCGATACCCTTGTCCACAGTCGGAGTGGTACCGAACGTTTTAACCAATTCAACGGTAAGATATTATTTCTTGTGCACTTTATAACAATTGTTCTTTAATGCGAGGAAAGCAATAAAAATAAAAATATAAAGCAAGTATAAAAAAAATTTGCAACTTTGCGAAAGAATAAAGGAAAAATTTGAATATTTTATTTATCAATAAAGAGTCGCTCTTTATTATGTTACGTTTTATAGTAAAATATGAGAAATATAATATGTGATTATCTTGTATTTCTAAGTTTAGCAACAACACTTAATGGAATGTGCTTCTTCCAGGAATTAGAACAATGGGATAAATGGGAGGAAAATCCAGTTGTTGTTATACCGGACAAACCAGTCAACCCAGTACAAGCAAAAATAGAACAGTATCGACAACAAGTGGTCAAACCTCCTGAATCACCAGCTGAAGAACAACTTAATTTTTTTGAGGTACATAATTCTAAATGAAACTGTTATCTTAATTAAATATGAACTTTATCTTTAAATCTTTTATGTAGAATATGACACCGAAGATCACTAGACAAACAAAGATTCTAATAAAAGATAATCATATGGACAATTCATCTAGTAATGCTACAAAATTCTCAGCTATGGATCCTATTCCAACTGTAAGTTTATTTGAACAATCAGACTTGTGATATTCTAGAAACTTACATTTATGTTACTTATCTAGAATGAATTAGAAGAATGGGAAGAAAATACAGCCGCCTGGGAAGTAGATGCTATAGAGGAGTTTAATGATCCTACCAAAGCACTAAGAGAACAAAGAAGGAGAGAGAGAGAACAACGATTAATAGAGCAACATCAGAAAAGGCTGGAACGTATGACAAAACCACAATCTTTGGGCGCAAAAGTGTATTCCTGATGTGAAACTACAAATATACGGGGATTAATATCAAAATACACAATAATGTACAATCTAACTGGGATACATACCGAATATTTTGAATATAGAAGTTGGTTTATTCACATCAATTCTCTACTGTCCAATATAACTTTTGAGTCATATATTAAATTTAGTAGTAGAATTAATTTTGTTTTATTTCTTTTTCATGTTTCTTTACATTTGTCAACTATATGAAATGGAATGGGTATAAAATCTCTGTAAATTTTGTGTTTTTTTGTATCATCTTTAGGTTTTGTATTTTCCAAAATATTATTTTATTTAAACTATTTCTATTTATATTAAATATTTTTAAATCTATAAAAATAATTTGGACAATAGAAGGTTGAATGTCATAAGAGTGTCTACAATCTACATTTATTTCAAATAGAATGATAAAACTGCATTAATATACTGCATTAAGGTACTTCAATGTTATAATCTTTTGACTATATTTTGGAAATTAGTATATTATGTTGTCGCTTTATTTGAGCATATAAATGTTTCCGAACAGAGTATTTAAATATGTATCAGCCTCCTTAGCGTTTTTTGAATATTAGCGGAAAGATAATATATTCATATGTCTATTCTCTTCTAAAAAAATAATAGTATTTGTAACATTCCATGTGAATTTTGTATAATATTTCGAGTATAATGTATCTTAGCTTTTACATAAGACAGGATAACTGTTTTGTAAGTTTATAATAAGTCGATGTATCAACTAAGTGGAAAATTGATATTTATCAAAAATGTTTCTACAGTCCTTAAAAATCTATAATTTTCATATTTACAGGTTTGCTAAAGGCTGATTTTCTTAAGAGAGAGATGTTATAATATTTTAATTTGTTGGACTTGTTTTCATGTTTATGTTATTTATGTGCAATTGCCAAGAAAATTGTAGTAAATGTAGATTTTAAAACATTTCATAATAAAAAATATGACTATGTTTTAATTTTAAAATATCCAAATTTTAAGCATTTTATATACACATGTGGCGCTTATTCAACGGTTGCGCAACCGTTGTACTTCCCGAATACAGCCATTGTGTGCATCGTGTACACGCATTAGTGACGTATGCACGATGTATACGAGATGCGTATGACATCCTATTTGTGTTGTTATCGCGAATTCACGTGTGTCATACGGATGGGGAAGGCATATTCAAAGGAAAGGTTTTCCGGTTAATTCATGCTAATTCGTCGTTCGATCTCGTTGAATTTGACTGCGTGTAAAAATACCACATTAGACCAACAGAATAAAGTGCATGTATGATCCGCGTAGGTCCACATATTCTGAATGTTGCGTGCTTTTGATTCACGGTCATGTGCCGATTCGACGCTCGCTATCCTCATCGACGGCACTTGCAAATACGAAATGTCAACATCCAGAGGTGAGCAGTGAGGTTTCTCGATGGTGTAAACGACAGCACGTCGGTGAGTCATTTTTTTCGATTTTAAAAATCAGATCGAATCGCGGAAGTGCACATCGTGTCATCTCGTATCGCGTCGCGTCGCGTCGTGGCCCGCCAGACTGTCTCGCTGGAGACAGCTGGAGGCCAGCTGGAGTACTGTTCTCGCGATCGGCTACGTGTCGCGAGATCGACGTTCGAGAGTTTATGAAGACCTTGACACGGAAATGTCAATTGAACACGAGTCAATTAGACAATCAGGAGTAAATCACTGCTGAATTATTTCGAAAAGAAAAGTTGCGTTGCCGACAAGAGGAAAGAGATAACCAGACTGATAGCGGAACTAAAATAGGTTCGACTTGTGTAAACATAACACACAGATACTGTCATGAATCCGCCGTGGTCCGACGCGATTTTGTAGACGATCCCTCGACGAGAAATTAAAAGGGTAAATTTGCATTCTTAGAACTCAGAATTCGCGAGTTATTCTAAGTGCGAGTATTGAATCGTCGAGCTGATGCTTTGTACACGATTAGCGGGATTGAGAAACATATACGTGTATATATAGTTTATGGATTTTCCGATAATAACATGGAAGGTTTGAATTCTAGGTATTGGAGTATTCCCTTATCTAAACATGATGTGTAATATGATAAGATTTGTAGTATAAGTAAAAAGGAACTTTGCTATGACTCACTCTGCGAAATCAAATTTAAACCATGTAAACCATATAAAATAACGCAGATGATATCATCATTTATCTAGTTGTAAAGTGGATTAAAAAAAAAGTGCAGCAATGGGTTCCATCGCTTTAGAGGAGTACGAGTTGATGAAAGACTCGAAATATCGAGTGTAAGTAAAGTATTCAGTGTATGAGATAACTATTTGAGATTACTAGCATTTGTAGTCTTAATAAATATCAAAAAAAAATTCCATAAATTTTGACATAATTTTTGCATGCTAGACACTCAGTATTTGTATATGATAATTTTTATTAAGAGATACACTGTAATATATTGCATCCATTTTGCAGCTATGTGTCTGCTGTTGACAAGGCCCTAAAAAGTTTTGAATACACAAGCGAATGGGCAGATCTAATATCGGCATTAGGGAAGCTCAATAAGGTGTTATTGAGTCATATGAAATTTCCTGTTATTCCAAGAAGGATTAAAATATCGAAAAGATTAGCCCAATGTATGCATCCGGCATTACCTTCTGGTGTTCATTTAAAAGCTTTAGAAACATATGACATTATTTTTAAGTGTATGGGCACTAATAGACTGAGTCATGAGCTCTTTATCTATAGTGCAGGTAATTAAGATATATGAGACAATCATTATAACAACTTTAATTTTTCGATATTTCTTTATATTTCTTTACATTTCTCTATATTTCTCTACATTCTATGTTTATCTGTTCTCAAATAGGCCTTTTTCCATTATTGGGACATGCTGCTATGAATGTTAGACCGTCATTATTAACGGTATATGAGACACACTTTGTGCCACTCGGTGAAAGATTGAGACCAGGATTAAGTGGTTTTTTAAGTGGTGTCCTTTTAGGTTTAGAAGATGGATCCGATCATTTTGACAGGTGACTTCCTATGTTTTTAAACTTTTTTTCAACATTTTTTATATATTTAAATACAATATTTATAAATAATGCTTAAATGATTTTTATGAGTACTATAGAAATTTAAATATATATATTATTTTATTAGAACCAATTCCTTATTGGAGAAAGTGTGCGATGGTGTGGGTGCAGAACACTTTTATGCGTGCCTCTGGGACTGCTTAGCTTCAAATTCTGGCATTCGATTGCCCGCTATATCATTTGTATTAGCGCACTTCAACAAAAAACTGTCAACGGAGGAACAAAAATATATTATGGGTACTAATACTACAATTATGGTAAGTAAAATTTTCTATTCAAACATATATTTTCAAGCATTAAATTTTGTAACATCCCATTCTCCAAAAGGTTTCAGCCTTGTGTGCTGGAGTGCAAGATACTTCGGTATTAGTGCAAAGAAGTGCATTGGATTTTTTATTGATAGGCTTTCCTATACACAACAGTCAATTGACACATCAGGATATGATATTATTAATCAAAGCTGCCTTAGTTACTATACTGCGGAGGGACATGAGCTTAAACAGGTAAAAAGGAAATTACACTATGCGAATCGTTCTTTTCAAATCTTTCTTATACTTTGTATACCTTTTTCTATTCGTATAATTGCAGACGTTTGTTTGCTTGGCTGTTGGGCACTGAAGTGAGCACATCAATTTTAAAGAAAAAGAACAATGCAAATACAGACACTAAAGAGGACTCTGCAACATACTTTGATATGTATTCGAAAGAAATGTTAGTCGAAGCGATAAAGCATCTGCTTAAAGAAGTGTGCGAAGAAAATTCGCAAGATTTGAAGCCATACAGAATACTTGTCTCCTTACTCGATAAGATAGATATTGGACCAGTAATTTTGGATGATATCCTGTTCGAAGTGTTTAGGTAAAATCGACATTGTTGCGTTATCAATGCAAATAGTGCTGCAAAAACTGAAATTATTTTGCCATTATTTTTCCTAATCGTAAATTTTTTATATTTCGATATTTTAGGACATTTTATAACGCTTGTAAACAGTTCGCGCCGAGTCACTTACCGAAGGCGAATGAAGTGGTGAAATCTGCGAATCTGTTGTTCTCAACTTTAGAACCATCGTACATCTGGATACATTGCGGACATCTGTTTGAAAAAGCTTGTGACGCTAGAGCGAGGACACAGATTGTGATAGAAGATATTGTGGTGAGACCTATTGGCAGTGGAATGCCGAATCTAGTGGAAGTATGCATACTAACGGAATTCTTACTCGAGACAGTGTCATTGGACGCGTTCATAGACACTCCGTCTGAGCACCTCCCTGGTTTATTTACGAAATAATTAGCAAACTTTTGTACCATATTAATATCTTGTCTCCGATGGAGATCTCGAAAAGTCTCAAATTATGCGCAAAGATCTTATCGAAAGTGCAACCGACGATGATAACGACTCATACCGATAAATATGAGATAGAAGTCAAAGTGGATGCGTCTCTGAATAGCATTGCAGCTCCTAGCGATAATTCTTTGATGACGATTCCTTTAGAGAAGAGTCAATCGGACAGTAAGTTAAACAAACCCGATACAACCATTAATTCCTTTCCCGAAAAAAGTCCGAGCACCAGAAGAAGAGCAAATTCCGGCGGTGCGGCTAAAAGAAGCGACAAAAAGTCGAAGAAGAAGGGGAGCAAGAGCACTTCCAAGTTAACCGACACTTATACTATACAAGCTGACGGCAGTAGCATATCGGTTATAGTGAGTGAGGACAGCAAGCCTATACCGAGGAACAAGAGCATGGACGACATTAAAGCGAGCTGCCTGGAAACCAATGAGATGAACTCTTCTTCGTCAAAGAATCATTTGTCCACGTTGAAAAACTTGACAAATGCGAGTCCGACGGGATCGATGACATCCTTGTGCAGGGGACCATCTCCGGCGTTTCAAGCGCAGCACTCCATGCTGGAAAAATGCCTCCGTCAATATGAGATATTTTACGTAAAATTAATTAGCAGCCGAATACTTAGCAAGGACAGAACGGTGCAAGATATGTTCAATCACTTAGTAGTGTCTTGCCCGAGGAAAAACTTCGACGAGACGATGCGTTACCTGGAGCTTCTGCTCAATTCCAGACTGAGCATGGAGGACTCTGGAGTCTGTAGCCAAGACACATCCGTAACTGAGGATACCAAGTGCCTGGATATTTTTCATCTATTTCTTGATATCGCGACGCATCTAGAATGGATCGAGGTCATGAAGATCGCATCCAGCTTGTTTGTCGAGTTGTCTACGTTCCCCAAGTACTTCCTCTCCGGTGACGATGTACTCGTGGAAGAAGAACCAAAGTTCGACCATGTGCTTCCGGATTGGCTGAAAGTCTTAATAGTCTGCTCCTGCTGGTTGCAGAATCAACCGGCGTTACAACTGACAAGCATCGCCACGTTATTGGACTTGGTAGCGTTGTTGAAAGCGCATAATGACGTCGAGACGCATCCGAAGAGCGGTGAGGGTGTGACGACAGTAATTATGATGCCGTTGCTGAAGCAATGGCACGTAACTTATCTGATGCAATATACCAATGTGTTCCAAGTATGTATTTGTAGTATTTTTGCATTCAGCGTGTAATTGCCGAAAATGAAATATTAACAATTGTTGGATGCGTAGGTGCTGGCACATTCCTTATGGCATCATTTAGGCGAGCTTCCCGCTCACAAGTTCAGGATGCGGTGTGTGGAATTGTTGCATGAATTACATCACGCTTTGTACAACTCTTGCGACGCGGTTGAAGATCTGATAGGATCCGCGCTTACCTCTGAAAATCCCGAAAAAAAGATCGAGGCGTTCAGTAGATTTGCCACTTTGTGGCATTTAGGACGAGAAATTGAAACAAATCCGAGGTTACGCGGCTGTCTCAGAACTTTCGACCAGTAAGTAAGAAATTTTTAGTATTTCTTCAATTAATGACGAATTTTATCACTTCTGTACTTTGCACAGATCTTTATTGAAAATGTTGGACAATCTTCAACTCGCGGATAACTCGCCGTTAAAACTGCAGGCCCAATCGTGGCTACTACATTCCTTGATGCGCGGCGACATATCGCGCGTAATAGACCCCTTGCTGACAATACTTTTGGATCCATCCACGTGCCGTATGAGCGTCCTTCACGTGAGCATACAACATAGTAATACCGTCCTAACGAAGAACGATCCCGTGGAAGAGAAGTCGGAGATTCAGGACGACACGGAAGGTGCCGCAAAAATCTACGCGATTAGTTCGGTCGATGGTAACGTGATCTACCACGTAAGTGACAGCGTGGACGAAGATAAGAAGTGGAAGAAGGGAAAGAAGAAGAAGCAGGCGATAAATCCCGTTAAGATAAAACGAATTTTCGCCGTGACGACGTTTGCGAATGGCGATAATTGCAATCACTATGTCACCGAGAGGAATCAGTTTATGAAGGAACTTGAGGTACCGCCGAGTATATCCGGCAACAGAAAGATCTCAGTGTTCGTGAACCCTCTGTCGATCAACTGTAACGAAAACTCGAACGATTCCTTAACGGAGGACGATTCGCTGCCTAGTATGCGCAAGACCAACCTGACGACGGAATTGCTGAAGAACGCCACTCGCTTCAAGAAAATTGATTTCGATAAAGGCTCTACTGCCAGTTTAGATGAGAGTCTTTTCGAGTCGGCGAATTCCAGTTTGAAAGCGAAGGAGAAGAACAGCTACAAAAAGCTGAATGATGATGTCGGCTCGTCTTTAGATTCTATAACAAATAGCTTGGACTCGAGCAGTCCCGAAGTAACTAACAAACAGTCGAAACCGAAGAAGGAATCTGCCCTAATGACTGGTGGTTCCAGGGAGGTAGCCGGCACTATAATAAAAGGCAGATATTACAGCACGAACGAATTCAACACGAATTATGATCACGAGATCGGCAGTTTCGAAGCGAGCGCGGAAGTGCCTAGTTGGACAATGGACGACGATGACGGCGATCTCGACGTCAGCACCACCGCGGAGGAGTACTTCAGCAACTCCAGCAGCGCCAGTATAGTCGAGGAGATTTTGAACGAGGTTCTCGATCGCGCGATGCAATTGTGCGACATTGCTGAGCCGCCCAAAAATGCAAGTATCTTACAATCTTATTTATTAAGCGATAAATATTTCGCTAAATTTTTTTTACATTTTTTTTTTTTCGTCTACTTACAGGAGGAAGTTCCACAGAACAACGCGAAGACTAATCGGAACATCGGCCTGGGTGTTCACAATCTTCACTCTCACATGTTGCTCTATTGCGGGGTATACGATTCGGCTAGGACTCTCTATGCTCTTCGTACGCTTAGGAATGAACTGTTGACGAATACGCGAATGTTTCTGTGCTGCGCCGCGACGACCGGCGTGGCAACCGCGACAAAGAATACAGCACTGTTAAATCTGTTAGCGAGACATAGGAAAAGTGTTTTTGGCAGAAATTTTCACGGCGACGTAGCTAACACAGAATTCATAGCGGCTTACAGGAGCAGCATGTATCTGGAAGTGTTGATAAGTGTGTGCCTATATTTTGCGAGAAGTTATTATCCAAATCTTGGACAGATGAGACTTACGTACGAAGAGATTGCTGGTAATCGCCAGGTATGTAATCGATTGTAAAAGATATTTTACAAATATTTTTGGCGCATGTAACGCACATTGATTACGCACGAAGACTAATCTGATTTGTTTTTGATCGTTGATTTATGAATGTATTAATTTTGCTGTAATCCAAGAGAAGTTTAGCATCAAACTAATATTATTAACATAAATAAATAATATCTTTTTCTGCACAGGTGCAACTTGCAAGTGCGGAATTATTGACGTTGATATTTTCTGAATTAATCCCAATCGTTCGTGACTCTGGCAAGGGTTTTAGCTGTTACATAGTCGACTTGCTAACCAAATGTAAAGTACAAAAGGTTGCTCTGCATTGTCTCGTATCCAGCGTGATGAGTATGAAAAACGCTCATAAGGAAAACGAGGATGTTTTTACATTTACCGAAGAAATCGTATTATTTAATGATCCGTTTGTCGATAATGATGTTAATAAATGTAAATACAGAGCGAGCGATCATACAGAAGCTTTCCAAATACAATTGTTACGGTAACTATACAATATAAATTATTTTACTAAAATTACTGTTATTTTTATGTCATTATTTATAATTGATGAGTTTATTATTTTTCAAGGTTATTGTTAGCGCTGATTATGTTAGAGCATCAGTGCAGTAATCAGAAAGGAGAGGAGATTAATCCGACAACATCGTCCACACCAAGTTCGCCGACGCGTAATCTGCCGAATTTAATCGGGAATAGTTTGAAATACATTCCCGGTGCAGCAATCCCGCAGCAACCGATGTTTCTCGCTAGCATACTTAGCGCATTACAGCTTGTACGTAATTCCTTTGCATGTCACAATACATCTATGTCGGGTCAATCTGAAAGTTTATGAATATTTCGACAAATTTTTAAAATATTGTATCTTTGTTGTAAAAAAAATGTTTGATTTTTTTATAAGCAATTTATTCCATTTTACAACAAAATGTAAACATGATAAATTTACATGAACAGCAAATACATATAAAGTTATAACTTGACTTAATAATTAAGTGAAGCACACCATTTAAATCAATGATCGTTAATAAATACAATTTTTACAGGAACACATGAGACATCTTCATCAACATTGGACAACCCTTGTTACGTCCAGTTTGCCTTTTATGGGATCATCTTTAACGTCCGTTGTAACATCGGTCATTCATCAACTATGTAATAACATTGAACATCTAGCATCGTATTACATTAGCGAGGAAGCGGCGTTGATGTCAAAGTTGCAAGATATAAGCACAGTGGAGTGCTGTCTACCCGCGGATTACACAGTGACCCATTTGGAGGCTTTGACATATTTGCTGCATTATTGTCTGCTAGATACTTCTCAGCAAATTGGATTCTCATTTAATCAACCATTAAGTGGTACAATACAAACGGGCATTCCCGGCGCTAATCCTGGACAGATATTCAACAATCTTATACACGTATTCATGCCCAGTCCACTTTCTCCGGTTAGTTAAACGAAGAATACGTTCTATCAATTTTAATTAGAATTTATCCGATTTATTAATTAGAGTTATATAAAACCGGCCAAATTTTTGTTCTTCGTAGGATCTGACGACAGTGAAAGATAAAACTGGTGCAACTGAGTTGCAGCAACACGCCAGAAGAACAGCGTTAAGCCATTTGCCAAGAATAATAGCATCTTTGTCTGCTTTGTGGCAAGCAGTTCTAGCAACGAAAGACAAGTATGTTTCGTATTCCTTAATTAAATATATAGAAAAATCGTTTGCATTGAATATGTTTTTAATCTCATTGTATACAGTGAACAAGCCAGTTGTGTGGTGGGCAGTCCGAGAATAGTCAAATATCAGTTGTTGGAACTCTTGTCTCCGATTTCTTTCCATCATGGAGCTAACTTTTTGGCTGCAGTCGCAGTTGCCTGGCATGAAAGACGCCAACCATCCGCCGCGTCAAAGAAAGTAAGCAACGTTGTTTAATCTTTTAATTCAAGAAATAAAAAGTAACTAATATCGGTAACTTTAGAAGGAACGCTTTGTTGATTTAAATTTCATTTTGTTGCAGATACTTCCAGAAGCCTGTCCCAATCAGCAAGTGATGGTTCATTTAGTCAGTGCGATTCGCGTGATGCCGATTGACACTTTAGTGCATACCGTGCATCAAGTAGTGAAAACGCCACCACCGATACACGGAATCAAACAAGACTTCTCGCTGGAGGTCTCGGTGCTGGAATTACTTTACGTGTACATGCAGAGTAACACGTCGCAATCGCTTATCGAGTCTTGGGCATCTTTGCTCAGTTTATTGAAGGACGGTCTGTCATTAACAGCGCCTGCTCAGTTTCTTCTGCTGGCTATACTGAACGAATATGTACAAAAGTGTCCACCTATGCAAGAAAAGAAAGATATCAAAGATCTGCAAGACGTATCTGCAAAAGTAATTACCTCACGTTGTGCGTTGTATAATAATTAATAAAATACGGTTACTAAATGTTCTCGATAAAACGTTTCAGTTGATTGAATCGTGCTCGCAAATAGCTGGCGCGTGTTTAGAACAAACAACATGGTTAAGAAGAAATTTGGCTGTCCGAGAAGACGCCTTCGAAGTGGCGGAGGGCTCTTCGGAAGGTAAAGAGGGAAAAACCGGTGCTGGTGCGTAACGCGCATTTTATTTTATGAACATATTTAAAGAAATTTTAGCGTAATGGCATTTTTTCTGTTGTCGTGCTTTATGTTTTTTTTTTCTTACTTTGCAATTTGGTAATTACAAATGGCTGTATCTCACAAATTCATGATTGTTAATGAAAACTTTATTTTACAGTGACACCTGGAACCCCACCTAACGCGGCATACAGTGTCCAAGCGCAGGCAGTATTGGCGGAAATACTCGCACCATTACTGGACGTCAGTTACGGCTCGCAAGAAAAGGAGCGCGTGGTAACGCTGCTAACGAATCTCATGTACAACGTTACGCCTTATTTGAAAAATCACACGTAAGTTCGAAAATTGGCCGAGTGCCTTAAGAAATTTTATTTGAATTGAGAGACGAATAAATAGCGCACGAATAATTTTGCAGGATAAAGAACATCGCCTCATTCACCGCTTGCTCTCAACTATTGGCCTCCTTGTCAGGATATCAATATACGAGAAAGGCATGGCGCAAGGATGTTTTGGACTTGTTACTCGATTCCGCTTTCTTCCAAATGACGCCGGCGTGTCTGCCTTATTGGAGAACTATAATAGACAATCTGATGACGCACGACAATACTACTTTCAGAGATTTAATGAGTAAAACGACATTCTATTACAGCATATATATATTATATAATGATAGGAATTAACACTTACGGGATTATTTTGTCAAATAGACCGCGTCTCTATGGCACAAGGCAGTGGAATTAGTATATTTTCGTCGAAGGAGCAGGAGTACGAGCAGAAAGCGCAACTTTTGAAACGTCTGGCGTTTGTCATCCTCTGCAGTGAGATGGATCAATATCACAAGTACATGCCGGAGATACAAGGTGAATATTCATCACGAGCAGTATTTTATAGAATATAATTGCAACTGTGTTTATACATTGGTTATTTTGCTTTCAGAACGTTTAGCGGATAGTTTACGCCTACCCCAAGTAATCCCGTCTATTCAGGCGCAAGTGTTTCTATGTTTCCGCGTATTGCTATTGAGAATGTCACCACAACACGCGACGTCCTTATGGCCGGTCATAGTTAGCGAGCTTGTTCAAGTTTTCCTCTACATTGAACAAGAATTGAATACAGACAGCGAAGAGTTCAGGTACGCGAATTCTTCTGATCCTTGTGCTTTCGAACATTGAGCAAACTCGCTTATGGGACGCTGTTGCTTCATATGTGCATGATACATGTTTATTTATGATATGCGATTGATCACTTTTTTTTTAAGTATTGAGATTATTTTATTTCTTATTTTTTTCATGTTATATTCTGAATTTCAAAGATTTGTTGTGAAAAGAATTCAACAGTGAAATTCTCGCTGTTATGCTAGCATGGGTAATGCGTTTCAAAATCGGTCTCATAATCAGATCATTAAGATTTACAAAATGTTCGAAATTTGTGAATAATTGCTACACAGAGATTCGTGGAATCGAGGCGTGTGAGATGAAAGTATGCGACTTTACTTCCTAGAGTTTTAGAGATTGAAAGAATGTTAAACAGCGTAAATTGTGCTGCATTGTCTGTATACATCCCACCCCACTAACATGGATACTACCTAATATCGTACTGTTTTGACTCTGTTTCGGCATCTTCGCGATTTGATGGGATTTATGGTGCCTCCGTAACTTGAATGGTGTTGGGACGGCAGTCGTCACAGCAGGTAACTCCATAGTCCAATGCATATTCGATATATCGCACCGTACGCATACCGTCAATGTTGTACACACAAGGACTCGAGCGCAGTGATGTAAAAGATACTCCAATTTTAGTACTTTAGACGCCGATAGCAGCCAAAGGCACTTGGGTGTTTTATTCGATACGTATATAATTCGTTTAATTCAAGCATCTTACATGTCTTTCGAGACATTTATTTCTTTAGACATGTAAAATATAAAAAATAATGAAAAAGATTTTTTAAATATTCAAAGAGATACTTTAAATTAGACTAAATGGATTATCTCATGAAAGGAAGTATAAGAAATAGATAAATACTCACAAGGCGTATCTAAATACAAGTACAGATTCTTGCTGCGAAAAGTACTTATTACTTGCTGCTGTAAATAAGTAATTTAAATGTGTAATTGGGAATAGAGAATTTGTATTTGCTTGTACTTACTTTACATCACTGCTCGAGTGTGTCAGGAGGTATCACTAATAGCAATCTTGTACCTTGTCGATCGAACTCTATGAGGAAATCGTATCGTTTATATAACTTGGGCAAAACCGTTATGTTTCTTTCGAAATTTCATATCGTTCCTTTTATTGATAATCTATACGTGTTCACGCAGCTCGCACATTAAACTGTTGTCGGCTCTGGACTCGTCGTGGGCCGTTAACGCTAGCAATGGACTTCAAGCACACGGACATCCTCACTGGCTGCAACTACAACTGGCTGCTGCCAAGCTGCTGGATCTCGCGTTACTATTGCCCGCACATAGATTGCCGCAATTTCAAATGTAAGAAAAAAACGAGATAAATAACAGCATATGTATTTTTCATACTTTGACAGTATATTTATTGCTTCATTAATCTACAGGTATAAATGGGCGTTCGTCGGAGACGCAGCGGCAGGATGTATGGATAACAATAATTTATCCTCGGACTTTGTACCGCACATTACAAGAATAGCAAAATTAATGGACAGTAAGGTAAGCTTCAGCGATCACGTTTTAAAGGAACATGCAAATATAACGATAACGGTTATATTTGATAATTGTAATTGTCGTGTGACAAACAGTGTTCGGGTAATAGGCAACTCTGTGTCTTCTCGTCGAAGACATATTCTTCCTTGCACTCGCATCCGCTTCTGCATGGTGTGTAACAATCCACTACATTCGGCTTTGAACATGTAAATTGACAGAGACAGTGCGTCCAAACTGATCTCTCGTCGCATTGCTGAAGACTTCTGGAACGCATGTAATCGAATTCGTCGTAATCATATCCAGGAATTCGATGCTTGGTATATCGGTAAACCTTTTCGGGCATTTTATACCAGTCGAACTGTTTATCAAACGAATTTCTCTTCTTAAAAGAGTTTACATTACTTCCGAAGGCAGTGAAGTCATTCCACTTTGAGGCGGAATAGGCCTCACGCTGAATTTTTGTGTCGTCGAAAGCCTTCGCAATATAAGAATTCTCTTGTGCAGCATTGGAGTATTTTTTGTTAAAACTTCCCGATTGATCTGTTGATAAATCTTCGTAGAAATCAAAATCGTTGTAATCAGCATCGCCTGCGTATTCTGGCACACAAATATGATAATTTAATTGTTGCAATATTGACTTAACACATATATCAGTAAAATGCATAAAACGCATGCTTCAATTAATGAGCGCAATTTTATGAATCATTTTTATAATTACACAAATTTGAGATATTTTTAAATTTTTATTCATTTATAAATTGCATATAATCAAAAATTTTCTTCACAATGTTAAAAAAATATTTCAAACAACATTTTAGAGTAAAAGAATTTAATTAATGCTTTGAATAGAAATAATTGAATTAATTAAACCAATTTAATAGCGAGAAAGAGCCATTGCATTGCAGTCATGTTTTCATTAATATTCACTAATTGGTATCATTTAGCTTAAATTAAACTCACTTAAAGCATGAAAAATATGATTGACTTGAATGGAGAAAAGAAGCTAATTATATTCATGATTATTTATGAATATTATTTAGAGATAAATATACAGGATGTCTCTATGTATAAAATAAACGCACTACTTTTTTGACAAATCCATTTTTCTCTTACAAAAATGTTAAATCATAATGCTTGAGTCAGAAGCAATTAAAAATATAGAATTTCTAGAACTGAGCTTTAGAGGAACAAATAGATAATGAAATGTTAGAAATGGAAAAGTTGCGTTACAAATTGTGTTTTTTTTTTCTTTTAATAATTTAATTGAAAGGAATCAGCTCAAAATTTATCGACAAATCTGCGATAAAAGAAAGTTGCAGTTATTTGACGAAAAAAATTATATTTTATATAAATTTATGTTAATCCTTAATGAAAACGAGATGATAAATCAAGCTGTTTTAATACTCACGTGCAGCAATAACTATTATGGTGCACAGAACGTAATAAAATAAGATCTTCAGCCGAGCCATTGCTATGGTCGCTTCTGCGCGAACCGCCAACAGACTCCACGCGTACTGTTAGAATTATGCCGTACAAGTACTGTCAATTATCACTAGCCCTACTCTTATATCGGCTCCGCTTGAAGATGATGCTATTATTATTATATCATTGCGCAAAAGCTCTACTGAATCTAAGCTATTTTATTGTTATATTTTTAAACGATTTAGTTTTTTAGAAAAGCACAAAAATTTCAATTAACACCACTTATGTTAATTATGTCACTCAGCTTGTTACAATTGATATTTGCGGCTATTCGAAGATGAAAATCACAGGAATTACTCGGTGTGGACGCACCGTTAACACACTGTTAGTAACTGAAATATTTATTTTAGTACCATGAGAATCACATATATTCATTTTTGCAACTAAGCCAATACACGCTGTCTGGTGGGTTGAGTCGAGAGGTGTTGCACAACGTACAGCGCTATAAATTCAATTTTTCGAATTTCTTCAGTGCTCCTTCAACTTCCTTATTATATATAATATTAATCAAATTTTTTTATCTTGTTAGTGTTATATGGAATTTTTCGAAATTGTCATTAAGTGCAGAGTTGTTCCTTGTAAAATTTGGAATAAATTTTTTCAATTTTTTTTAAACTTACGAATCTTTTTCTTACAGTTCAAACCAGACGGTCCATCGCCCAAAAGGAATCCAGGAGAGCTTCTATTGACGTCAAACAACGTCCGCTCTTTGCAAGACTTACATCACTTCTTTTCTAGCCTAAGTCGCGCCACTTGTGACATGCACATACCCATAAATAATACGCAATTGGAGACCGTAATCGAACAGGACTTCCTTGAGAAGATGCCGACTGTGCCAGCGAGATAGTAGGGATACATCAAGATATACAAGTAATATCCATTCTTCAAAGGAAACGTAAGAAATATGTTGTTAAGACACTCTCTTTGTCGTTTCATATATTTATAAAAAGTATATGTATATAAGGTATCTCAGATTCGCGCCGTATCTACACACTGTCTATGAGGAAATATCACGTTATATAAATATGGCACAATTAGAATACAGACATTCAAAAAATGCGCCAACTGTTCCCGCTGTTAAACGTCCAATCAAATATTCCCTTAGAGAAGAAAATCACTCCACATTGATCAAGATATAGAAAGTAGTGAATGAAAGAAGATACGATGAACTTGAGACACCCTATATTCGAATGAGTTTTAAACTGTAAGATGGATGAAAAATCGACGCATCATCAAGCTAACTTCTTCATCGACAAATTAATCATAGATGAGATAAGAGATTTCCATTATAATTCTGAAAAACCAGAAGTGAATCTGGAATGAATCAGAAGGGAGTCTGTAAAATAACCCGACATTTTTTGTTACTGGTTTTTATTAATTAAGCTTTCGACTTGTCTCCTCATTCGGTTGTGAATAGTTATCAGCTTGTATAATACAGCAAGCTAAACTCGCGCGTTGGCCTGCTAATGTAAAATTGTATAGAGCGTGTACAGTGTAACATAATATTTATATGGAACGAGGTCTTCCCGCCACTTTTTCACTGTCTGTCATATTTCATTTCTTCTTTCTTTAACTTTACATATTATCGTGTAACTTAAAAGTGATCACTTATACACGTGCGGAGGATTCTCTACAGATCTTTTTTCAGACAGACAAAGATTTTGCTGAAGCGTGAACAGTGAATGATGAATTGCAAAGAATAAGAATTAACGTCCTACTTGTGCAATATGAAATATGCAGTTCGCAATATCTGTTTGGAATATCAATTAGAGAATGTGGAAGTTTATGAAGTTTTATGGTGAAACTTGAAGTGGATGGGATTGAAACGCTCGGAATCATACGATGCATTTGCAATGGTTTTCGCATGCATCACCACTTAAAGTAAACATAATCTGCTTTCCGCGCCACTATTTGTGTCGTCAGGCCAACCCATCTGTCTTCATATATTTCAGACTATTTGACTAAAAGTATTCACCGTGAAGTTTTACAGAAAAAACTTCCGCGTCGTCTGATAATGTGCTATGTTATGTCATACACTTTTTGTTTTAATGAACAAATTGTCGGTATCAACCGATAAATTATTATAATATTATATAAAGCGGTAAAGTATCATGGCGCGCTTGAAATAAGACATTATATTTTTATGCAAAACTAATATATACTGAAAGATATCTAATATTCCAAGAATATCTACCTAAACTATACGATGTATTCTCATAAAGCCTCTGCACACAGTTAAGAAGTAAATGAGAACTTGAAAATAATATTGGAATATATATTATGAAAAATGTACACGTCTATTTTGCTCAATAAAAGTCCAAAGTAAGAGATATTTATTTTCAAACACATATTGTCGTTATCTTTTACAATTTCAAATAAGCTTATATGCTATCATTTTCTTTTTTTTTTATTTATTAAAGTAATTTCTAAAGTCATAAAATTTTTTCTTTCAGTTTTTTGTTAATAAAAGTATCGACAATATTAGAATAGAATAGAATTATGTTTACATGTTGGTAGATATTCTTTGTCAATAAATGTGTTAACATGCCTTCGGTCGCGCAACATTAAAAAGATTTATTTATTTGCGAACAACGGACAGGCGACTCCGCGAAACGGTTCACAATAAATAACACTTGCAAAAAAAAAATAACGATTTATTTTTTATATACAAACATAGTATTTTAAATGCAATTTGCATATGTAACATGCGATAATAATATTAAATTAAATGAACACTAATTTACTAAATTGACTAATTTCACCATTATGTTGCCATTAAAATCTGAGATTAGTGAAAATAATAATTTTTAAAAGGAAAACATTTATAAAGCAGTATTACTGCTCGAAATTACTGTTTAGCTCTAAAGTATAGTTAGTAATATAATAAATTTGTTCTACTGTTTCTCGATAGGAGCTTGTATGAAGATTTGTTCTTTAATGGACGTAAAAAAATGTTCATTATTTAGTAGTACCTACATTATGTTATTTGTTATTTATATATACATAAGTCATACGATTTTAATACGTTTATTCTTTAAATTTTTCTATTAATTAATCTTTTTTTAATGTATCTGGCATCTGTAGTTTGTGAGTATCAAGATAATTTATAAGTATCTTGTTGGTCTCACAAACTAATAGACAGTATAATCAGAATCTGTCAGAGATATTAGGTAAATGACACATGTATTTGTGTTGCAATCATGTAATTTTATGTAATAAATCAATATACAAAGACTATTATAAATTATTGTCAACTAAAGCAGTGTATTTATTTTTACCATTAATCTTACATCAATCTTACATTGAAAAAAAATTAAGATATTTTAAGAAAAGATTTTTTTAAGTAGAAAGTAAACACAGCTCTGAATAAATATTCATAATATTCATAAAGGGGCCCGAAGGTAACTATAGAGCGGTGACATTATCAACTGTTCCAACTGTACTGCAAGTACACAAGTATTGTAATTTATCACTGTACTGTTTTATAATAGCTTCGTCGGTGATAGTCATCGGATCAAAAAGAGGTTATTCGATCTGAAAATCCAAATGTCTGCATGTGATAGCAATGTGCAAGTTTGTTAAAAAGAAGACTGATTTCACGCTATATCCGATATTCTGAATTGACACGAATGTTTTTAATAGCATCGTGAAGTGCATAATTTAATTCTGATACAACGTGACTTATATATTGTACAGTGCATACGTAGTCACTTTTAACGGAAAAGAAGTTCAATGAATTAACAATAATTCTTGGTGTTAATTGTTGAATTATATGAACTTCGAATAAAAAATTTATTCCCAAATATGTGGGCAGACACCATCCTTATTGTATTTATCAGTATATGTACAGCGTTATTGGGTGAAGGTAAACATAAAAAAAACATAAAAAGCAATATTTTCATAAATGTATTTATAAGTTGAAAAAAAAAACAAAATAATTTATTTAATTTATTTATTTGTTCTAATATATTTATTTTATATATATTGTTTAGGTTTGACATGGTTAATGGTGTATAGAACTGAAAAATATCAAAAATTAAAGGCTGAAGTTGAAAAGCAGAGTAAAAAATGTAAGTCTACAAGATATCTATGAGGTATTCAAGATATTTATGAGGTATTATATGAGGAATTGTATATACAAAAAAATATCTGCATAAAGTGATTTTGTTTGCCAGTGGAAAAAAGAAAAGAGGCTCATGGAGACTCTTTGGACAAGCAGCAGAAGAAGAAGATAGAACGCGAAGAGGAAAGATTAAAGAATAATAATCGAGACTTATCTCTTGTAAAAATGAAATCCATGTTTGCTATTGGATTTGCGTTTACGGCACTGTTAAGTATGTTCAATAACATATTTGATGGACGAGTTGTTGCGAGATTACCGTTTGTTCCAATCAGCTGGATACAAGGTTTATCCCATAGAAATCTTCCAGGCGATGATTATACGGAATGCTCATTTATATTTTTATACATATTATGCACCATGAGTATCAGACAGGTAAATTTAATTTGTTTCCTTGAATACATTTGGTTATGTACAAGGCTTTTCATACATACACTTTTAATTTTTAGAACATCCAGAAAATGCTGGGTTTTGCACCATCCAGAACCGCAAGTAAACAAAGTGGCAGTATCTTCGGACCTCCACCTCAACAATTTAAATAAATACAGATTTGAAGAATAATTGTTGGTATTTTGAGATTTTTTGTACAGCTACTAAATTTTAGGCATTTACTTGTGTCTGATTAATTTTTATAACATAAAAAATAAACTTCTCATATTATTTATCTTTCACATTAAATTATTATTTAAATATTGAAATATTTAGTGTCTTCAGGAATTTTCTAGAGTATTTTTCACTGTAAATATGAAATATGAATATATAAAATATAATTTATGTTCCATTACTTATTGAAACGCTTGTTATATGAAATACCTTCATTTATTTCTTAAATAACAGATTCAATAATTGAAGAAAACAAAATCATAGGCACAGAATATATGAACTCTTTTCGATATAATACTTCAATATAATCTCAAATATATTATATTATTGCAGTGGTAAGAAAAACTTACACATATAATAAGGAAATTTTATAATAATTTATGAAATCACTGAGCAATTTTAAAAAATAATTGTGATTGGTGTATTTTTATCAAGCGTAGCTTATACAACAATCAATATTATGTACAAACATAATGATCAACCATATACAAAAGGGTGTAACCATTTATCTTACATAGTAAAAAACTTGCATTGCTACTTTGAACGCTTGAATTACTAAGAATTGTTACATGATTTTATACATCACGAAAAATTATAATTTTTCTTATTTTATAGGATACATACATATGCGTTTTCTACTAAACATTATTACATGTGGTCTTCGTCTTTAACAACTTAAATCTGACAGTCTGTCATTAGAGATATTACTTTTTATATTATGCAAACCTTGATATTTACAAGGAATCTATACACAGAAATTATAATAAAAAGTATGAGCTTGTTATATTGAACTTTTGGTGTTCTATTATGCATTACCAAACATGGTGATATCACGTCTATCCCAGAATTATATTGCTTTAAGCGTGAAGTAGCTGATGATATTATACAGCGCGATTCAATACTCGACCAAATTTTAAAAGCAGTTGGCAGTCACGTAGGTAATTCGATTTTTTGCAGTATGGATTTTTCTGTATGGATTTCTAAGAAAAAAAAATTATAAAATTATAATCTCGGCAGTGGCCACATGTGGAAAATATAAACGCAAAGGGAAGACACTAAACGAGATGTTTTCGCACAGTAATACAATTCTGGAGATTGTAATAAGCAGTCAGAGAATCAAAAACAAGATTACATTAGCAATCTTTTTTTTTTTAATTTCTCAATCATCCATGGAGATATTCTGCCGTCCAGCAGCTAATGCGAATCTGACATGATTATATTCCACTTTACAATGGCCGCTTTCCAACTCATGACACAAGTCGACAATAAAAGTTCGATATTGTTCGAATAACAAAGACAAAATGATACTTGTGTCGATTTGTGTCATTAGCTGGAAAGACCGGCTGGCATTTATATTCAATGTCGAATGCCGTAAGTATGTAAAGAATCCTATGACGCATTCATTAAAATGCCGTTGTAATTATAAAACTTTCAAACGCATCAAGCGTATATATTAAATAAATATAAGTTCTAGCGAAGTTCGTGTACTGAGAGCTTTACAAATACTAATAAAAATTGCACATCGAGTATATTATAACTTTTCACATATTCGCGTATTCGTGTCATCTATTTTCCGAGCATGTCGTTGCATGCGCTTCCTTCGCTCATTTACGATGCCCGGAAAGACGACGTCAAATATTGCCTGATGTTCACCTTCCTCTGCTTCTTCTTTTCTACGAAGGTAAGTCAAAAATTAAAGAGACCTTTATCAACACTACAAAATTGAAATGTAGGTTTTAATCAAAAAGGTCCCGGACTTTTGACTTTTCCGCGTGAAGAGTTCTCATCTTCCTTCCTTCTATCAGAAGAATCCTTCACCTAATGGGAGACTTCCAATCTCACCAGTTCAGTTCGGTAATCCAGCAATGAGGTTTCAACGCCAGTTTTAAAACGGCGGGCAATTCACACCGGGATGAAGATACTGGCATTTGTCGCCGACCCGACAGTAACCGTTCTTCGAGAATTGTCTGCACACTGGTGGCTGTTTGCCGCTTCCTCGCCAACCGCTGCCGCCGCCTCTCCAACCGCCTCTGCCAGGTCCGCCGCCGCGGTATCCCCAACCGGGAGCGCCTCTGCCCCTATTATGCATGGGAGCTCCTCTCGGACCCGGGAAATTAGGTCCGGGAGCATACATCGGTCCGGGCGGGCCTTGAAAGTTGTTAGGATTCATATTGTTGAATCCTATTTCCTCCGGATTCATGATCATGCCGTAACCCTCTTGCTGCTGGTTGTATATGGGTGGCGGTCCCATCATTCCCGGTGGAACCATGGGCGCGCCCTCCATTCCCTGATTGAATCCAGCTGGCATGTTCGCCATCGGATTCATACTGACGTCAGGCATGAGCACTTTGCCGTCGCCTGTCCTCCAGCCGCCGCCGCCGCCCGCTGGCATCTCCGGGGCCATAGGAGGCATGTGTGTAGGAGCCATCATCTGTTGAGGCATTTGTGGACCCATAGGACCCATTGTCGATTGGGGTCCCATGGGTGTCATCATGGTTGGTTGCGGGAATGTCGTTGGATAATGGAACGTTGTCACGGTGGTTGGTTGCGGCGTTAATTGCGGCTTAGGTTCTGGCCACGGTACCGTCGTAAAGTCTTTCTCGCTTTCTTTATTGCCTGTGAGATCATCCAATGGTATTATCTTAGGATCGGTCATTATGTGATGCCGTTCTTCATCGGGTTCAGCCGCAGAATCTGGAATCCTATAATTCGAAAGCAATCAGAATTATAGAAACTTTCAGTTGATTTATTTGAAGATCTTAACACAATAATACACTCCGAGCAAAAAACTAATTTTCCTTCAAAACTAAAAAAAAATATTTATATAACATATATTAGTGCTGTCAATACTCGGGTATCCTGATAGTCCGGTAATGCACGAGAGATACTCGAGTACCTCGGATAATATCCAAATATCCGGTTCTAAATATATATACGCAACATTTTTCCAATTAGAATAATTTTGTGTTATAACATTATATAACGGAATATCTTTATGTTTCTAAAAAATATATAAGTATTTTATACTGCTATTCATAAATCTCACTTTTTCACTTTAATATAATATTCTAAAAAATATAAAATATCTTATCTTATCGCAACAGAGTGTATAAGTAATAGAGATAAAATTATTGACAAATTAAATGACTTGATGTATTGCATTGTAGATTGTAATATATATACATACATGCTTCGGTTAAAGTAAAGCGCTTGAAGAATGCCTTTCTCACGAGCATACTGAATATCTTTCTCTTTACTATCCTTGCCAGGTTCTACTAATGGAGGCGGTAGTTTAATAGGAATTAGAGGTTTCCATTTTGTCTTTTCTTCCATTAAGTCTTCAGTATCTAAAAAAAGACAAGATTGTTTTATATAATACATTCTATATACATATTTTAATAAATAAAACATAAGTAGAATATATTTACAAGATAATTTGCAAGTATATAATGTTTTATATATGTATAAATATTTAATAACAACATTACAATATTAAAAAAGGCACTTCATATACACTTACTTAATTTTCTGGCCATCTGGAATGCTTCTCTCTCATTTTGCTTTTCCATTTGCTTCATGTCAGTAAACGTCTTTGTCACATTTACTCTTTCCGTTTCATCTAATTCGAAGTAACGTATAGATTCTAGATCCGTCTTCCACTTTAAAACCTTCTTCGGCCCTTTACGTTTCTGAAGTAATAAGACACTTCTAAGTCCATCTACATATCGTATTTCAGGATAGCCAACGTCCTTCTTTGACGAATCCGAAGACGCTTCTTCCGGCGATTCGGAGTCTTTTGTATCTTCCACATCTTCCTCAGGTGTCGGTGCTATAAGAACAGAAACGAATAAATTGTATATACTGTAGACAAATTAATTTAATTTTAATCTGATGATATATGTGAAATGTATCTGATATAAAAATGTATTTTGACTCTTTCGTTCCTAGTGACAAGTCGTCATTCGTGAAACCTGTTGGAATTATTCCTACCATAAACTACATATATATAGAGTAGAAATTATAATCTCGGTTGAAAAACCATAACGAAAGAATTAATAATAATATATCAGTGCAATAAAAACATATATTAATATTTTAAAAAATTATTATAAATATTACAATTATATATATATGTATAAAATAAATAGACACAATAGTGTAATTTTATGATAGATTATATGTAATATATATTTTTAAAAAAAGTTTCTTCTCCAAAAAAAATTTATTTTTCTTGCCTAACAAGATACACTTACTGTTACTTCCGTCATCATCGTCTCTATTATCCTTTTCGTCATCAAGCAACTGATCTTTATCTTTCTTTGAATCTTCTTCGCTATTTTCTTTTTCTTTTTGTTCTTTGTCGTCCTCTATTTCCAGAGTATCTTGATAGAACTAAAAGATAAATTTTATAATTTATTATCAATAAGTAATATACGTTCTTGCATAATACAAAATAAAAATCAATGCAATAAGTTAATTTTGTTTTAAAAATTATAAAAAATTAAAAAAAAAAAACTTTAAAAAGAACTAGTATTTTAACTAGTAAAAAAAAAAACCATAAAACGCGTAATAAGATTGCCTAAGATTGCCTATCCTTTGGATTCTGATGATAACATATATATAAAATGTGAAGAGAACAGAGTAATAAATTAAAATTCTGTTTCAGAATTGCCTCGAGGAAAAGAGCTACATTTTCATTCTAAGTTTTGTGCAAGTTTTGATCATAAAGATTAATATTGAACGTATGAATTGTGAACATCGCGATTCAGATTGAGTAGCTGGGCTGTCAGCCCGTATCACGTGTGTTAGCAGTCTGGATGGATGGAAGGAGGGATGGAAGGAGGGATGGAAGGAAGGAGGGATGAAAGAGGGATGCATGCACGTTACACGTGTGTGCATTTAATATTAACCTTCAATCTAATAAAAAGTAGGTGTTCATCTCACGTTTATGAAAACATTTTGTGGCAACAAAAGATTAGAGCGCAAAATAAAAAATCAACATGAAACACATTTTTAATTTTTTTCATATGTTTCAGTGAATTTTTTTTTAGTTTTGCACAAAACTTGCATAACGTCGTTCGATATTCTTTTCATTTCAACTGATTCCAACAAACTTAAAACTTCTACAAGAGTTAGAAACAAGATATAGCGCTCAATTGCAGAAGGTCCGAAACGGATCGAATTGGAATAACCGATCGCTTTGGTATTGTTTTTTCCTCATCGAATATCTATTATATATTTAAGATTCATTGTGAGATATTTACTTTGAAATTGGGTTTCAGGGCAACTGGCGACTTCTCCTCAGTATTCGAAGGCGAACTAGGTGGCGGCGTGCTTTCACGATTATCCGCGTTGTTCGCAACTTCTTGCTTCTTCGCTTCCGAAGATCCGTCTTTCGTAACAGAAGTTCTACGTTTACGTTTCCTCGGTTCTTTGCTCTTGGTAGACGCGGTGAGAGCATCCATGAACATATCGCTCTCTTGGAGTACCATAGCTAAAAACCAAAAATTTGGCAACTTGAACATATTTGTGGAGTACAGTGACTATTGAAGTAAAATTACAATTGTGTTTATGGCCTAAAAATCGAATAATAAATTACCAAAATTTGAAAAGAACATATAAAAGAAATAAAACTGGGAGTTTTGAAAGTACTTCCAAAAAGATGATCACATCTGGAAAAATATATAGTATAAACAAAGATATTGCAACATCTCCAGTTGTATCTGCGTTCAAACATCTATCTCGCGACAACGACATTGCCACTGCAATGGCTATAACTAAACATTAGCTGCAATATTAAAATCGAATAATTATTAATGGAAAAGACGAAAAAGATAGAGCAGAATGTTCCAAAAATAAGTCTGAAAGAAACAATACGTCATCTCAAAAGACAAATAGATAATAGATGTGACAGATATTTTTAAAAATATAAGATGTATTTCTCAATATGTGGGATATAACTTGTAAGTTCAATGCATAAAAGTCCATACAAATGTTAGATCTTTGAATCTGACTTGTTTCCGAATTAGATATTTATTAAATAACTTTTATATTTTGATAGTATGAGTAATAATTAAATAAAAAAAGGAAATAAGCTATTATAAACTACTTTCATCAAATTTACACACTAAATTAAGGAAGAGCAATAACCAATTATTATTGTATTTTTACACACTAAACTCATTCCTAAAATTATGCCCAAAAATGAAGAGAAATACTCTGTTTCTATTATCTAATTATTAAGTATGCTTCCAGATTGCAGTCTCATTTGGCTCGATCTTTTCTGTAAATGATAAGAAAAAAAGAATGCTTTTATAAAAATTAATAATATAACTGTGACAATTCGCGCGTTGGCTGCTTTATTGGTTATCTTTAGGTATATAGTATATACCTAAAGAAGTAAGAGATGTCTCCAACTAGTTGTAAAGTGGAATTTAATTGCTTCCATTTTTCAGCAGCTGCAAGTAAAAGATAAATTTTCTTTATATCAGTAAAAATAAACTTTCCGTAACAGAAAAACAAAGATAACTTGGCTGTTAACATAAACTTAATATCAATTTTGTTCAACCATATCCTGTAAGAAAAGTTTTAAGACTTTACTATAAGTAATTTAAAAGTTTACTTATATTGTTCTGCATTCATCCTAAAATGATAATTTAGTAATAATTAAAGAACAGATTAGATGATAATAGTATTATTTCTATGCTTTCAAGTATGAGCTGTAGGAAAAGGATATAGGTGGAACATAAGTGTAAATCAGAAAGACAAGGCCTTCTAAAAAAAAAGAATTATACATTATTATCAATCTTGTGTATGTTGTGCTTTTTCAATAAAATATTGATCAATGTGATCCTCCCCACACAGCACAAAACATCCTATGACATCTTAGGGATATCTCAATGATAAACCTGAGGTAATCCTCCTAAGATCCATCCTAAGATGCATAGGATGTTTTGTGCTGTGTGGGTCTTTACGTAAGTTCTTTTATTTTAACAATTAATATTTTCTGTGCTATTAATTTTATCTTTATAAACTGTAAATGATATATTCGAGATTACTCTTTATGTTGTATAATAAAGGATAAAGAACAAAGGATAAAAATACCAATTATATGCACAAATACATTGATATACCAAACAATTCAATTAGCTAAAACTGTAATAATGCTTTAACAAAAATATATATTATTATAATTATGTCAAAATTATTATAATTATGTCAAACTGAGACAATATTAGGTATTATTTCACATAATTATATTCTTTTACAGGCTAATTTTTATATTTATTCTATTGTATTAAATTACACAAAATAGATAACAATTGTAATTGTATTTATTCGTGTATAACAAACTCATTCAAAACAAGCAAAAAAATGATTCATAATTAACAATTATTTACCAAGTCACACATTTACTGTAGAAGCAAAAAATTATAATAAATTATTTTATTGATAAAATTTTGGTAGGTTTTAAAGTACTGTCAATAGTAGTAGTAGTACCAATAGTAGTATCAATAGTAATAGTAGTAGTACCGAATACTCGATTTTAAATTCGAGTAATATGCTAGGTGAACTCAGTTATGACCAACCAACTCAGACCATATTGCATGAAAAATGTACATCTACGATACAGAAATCGATGAACACAAAAATTAATGGTATACAATGATTTTATTGCCGAAAAGAAATAACCTACAGTTTAAAAAAGAAATTTTAAAAATACACAACATTTATCAGTTGTCTAAACAATTTGTTAGTATTCCTAATAGCAGTTGATACTCCTGAGATATCCTTCGATTTATAGTCTTGTACTTGTATTTTTCAAATTATTAGAAATTATTATTGGTACGGCCATATTAAAATAATAAAATAATTTTGTCAGGATTGCGCGTATCGTATATACGATAAAAGATGATAAAAATGTAAAAAATAAATTATACAAGCCCTCATACATAACACAAATTTTCATCGCTACAGCCATCCAATTATAATTTTTAATTATTATTAATAATTTATTATCTTTTAATTACTGTAATAATGTTATAAGTTGCATGTATATGTATGTTTCTATAAACACAATAAAAGTACCTGAAAATATAAAATATATATAAAATATAATAAATATATATTACGAAAATAATTTTCTTAAATTAAGATCAATAGAAAATAGCAATATTTAAAAACAAAGTTCAAACGTGCATTTGAAATGTATGTTCGTATAAAGATAAAATAATTAAATATTTAATTACTAAATAATGTTATAAAATAAACAATGTTGTAAACGTATTCTATTTAAACTAAAGAGAAAGAACTGATAATTTTGGCAAATGCTAAAAATAAATTCGAACATGCATTTCAAATAGCAACGTTAAAATTTAGCCTATATTTCAGCATACAACTAAGTAATCGACATATATGAAATAAAATGGCAGCCTTTAATTAAACTTATTATTGAATTATTTATTATTCATGCGTTATTGTTCATTAATCTCCATAATTACGCACAATGACATGAAATGTATCTAACGTAAAAAGGTAAAAAGTAAAAATATTTTATCTGATATACAAATATTCTACATTTAGGAGTCTATTCTGTAACTTTTAACGATGTTGTCATGTGTTGTATCATTGCGCAGCTATTACATGATACAAAAAACCTGCGCAGTGATACATAACGACGTCATTAAAAGTTACAGAATTAAAAGATTGATCAAAAATATAAATAAATTTATATAAAAGTCGTTTTCTACTTAGTAATTAAAAAATTGCCTTATTTTCATGAGATTATAAATGTAACAAATTTAATATTTAAAAAATTACTTTTGCGTAAAATATAATAATTTACAATAACTATTGAATATTAATTTTAATATATAGAAATACGTTGTCATAAGTTAAAACATCTTTTCGAATTCATATTTGTTTTTTTTAACATTTAGAAAAAATAAGAATTGAATTATCCGTATATTCAAAGTTTTTACACGTGCAAGACCAATACTAGACAAATTTAGCCACTTATGTAAATTTCTTTTTTTATAAATCTAATATATTTCTTTTTGTACTTTTATATATATATATATATATACATATATACAATTATATACATACACATGTATACATATATATAACATATATATAATTTTAAACTTTTGTTTTCTTTATATTTTATGATTTGAAAGTTCATAATAGCTACATAATAATCAAGAAATTTTATATAATATATAAAATTATGCATATATATTTACATGCAATCAGATAAAATATTTTATTCTTGGTTCGAACAATTTTGTAACGCGATGCCGCGCGAAGAGTCCACGAGTTTACCGTGGGTCAATGTACGTTAAAAGGTTAATAGGTGTCGGTAGAAGCGCGATACGTCAAGTGCGGCGGGATACGTTAAGGAGCCGAGTGCGTCGGCGTAAAACGATTGTGAAAACATTGGCCCGCCACGTGCGTATGCCACGAAGCGCGATTTTGTTCGAATTCTCAAATATCGTGCAATAACACAAATATCGTGACCAAATAAAAAATCGTCACCGTTACGCGAATTCATTCTAATTGCTTTTATCAATATGCATACATTTTGCTTTTCTTTTGTAAATTACTTTCTAAAATCTTATACAATATTTGAGATTTTTGTGTATCGTCGCACCGAAATTTGTTGTAAGAGCACAAAAAATGTGATTGCATAATTTGTACGATTTGTAGTAATATCGAGGTAGTTAGTAGTATAACGAGGTAATATCAAAATAAATAGGAAAATAGTATTGTATGATCTTTTGTAGTGAAAAAAATTCAAGATTGGTAAATTTTTCTTTTATGTGATCTTATGCATATAATTCTCTACCAATTCCAGAGATATTTGCAATGAAATCAACAAATAGAATCGAAGACAAGAATTGCAAGATAATCTGAATTAGAATAGTCTCTGAGAATTTTGTCAAAATATGATAATGTTAATATAAAATAAGATGCGAAAAAAACCATTGTGCTCAAGCTGCAAATTTTGGAGCACATTTTGTCTTAACCATCTATTTTTTTTTAATGATTTCTTTAATCTTTCTTTCTCATTTGAATTCTTAGTCTTTCGATTATTTAACAAAATCATTAACTGGGAAGACGGGTCTTTTCGCCGAGTTGAATCGGATGTTGTAAAATGAGTCGGCAGAGATCCTAAAGGCCTTCTTGTTTGAAGACGTTGAATATGCGGCTTCAGAATATGTGCACTTTCAGTGCTACTTTCAATCCACGTGGTCCACGCGCTATTTGGCGCAAAAAAAATACGTCTTGCAATATCTCATTCTCACATCGATCTCACTTCTTTCTTTCAACCATTCGTTCTTTCTTTCATTCTCTCCCTCTCTGTCTCTCTCTCTCTTTCACTTTCTCTTTCACTTTCTCTCTCTCTCTCTCTCTCTCTCCCTCTCTCTCAAAGGTATTGGATTTGCCCCACGCAAATTTCAATTCTCTATGATAAATGCGTAAATATTTGCGCACATTTGTCGTATACGAAAAGTCGAATTCCATTTCATCCACCGAGATGCCTTAAACATATTCATATTTTATTCATAACAAATCTACTCTCGGTGTCAATTCTGCTGCTTTTAATACAGTATGCTAACTGTAATTCAAAAATAAAAAAAGATAAGCTTCTTGTACTTGTTTGAATCCAAAAAATTACTTTAAGGGTCACAAATTTCTGAACATTATAAACTTATTAATCAAGTACTTTTTGCATTAGATTTCTGCGTTCAAATTAAAAAAAATCATCAAGAGGATGGAAATCTGGATGGGCTCACATTTACTTTGTCTTGAAAGCATTTAACAGCGAGCAAGACATGTAATACAGCGAAACCCAAGAGTTAAGTATTTCCAGAATTCTAATAAATTTATTTAAATGTTTAAGTAGGATTTACATTTATAGTGGGAAAAAGTATGGATAGACAAGATTTTTTTTACCTTACCTAGTTAGAGATTAGAATTATTCCTGTCTGATGCCGTGGTATCGTCGTGTCACTTATATCGAAAATATTAAAACGCGCGCCGGCTACTGACAAATATCAATAAAACACTTTTTCAGATTCAAATATCTTTCTATATGAGAAACTGTGCAGTTATTTGCAGTTATACTTTGAAACGACGAATGTATATATTTCGTCGCGCGAATAGTGATTGAGAAATTCACGGTTGACGCGATATAATGAAAACTTTTTCCAAGATTACCTGCTATCGAAGATTCTTAATATATGAAAAAGTTCGTAGTCGACCTGTCGCAGATCCTAATGGCTTCGTTCTTCTAATCAGAGATGTTAATTTTCATAGATGCGGTCCGCACAAGAGCCGCTAATTCTTCATGCAGCACGATGAATAAATCGTTACACATTATATCTTCTATATGAGAAGCTAATAATAATGTTTTGGGGAAGTAAAGAGGGTGTACTAAGGTATTAATACCTTATTAATACCTTACCGTTTATACCGTTAATACTTTAAAAGGCATTATGCTATGAAATATACCTGAAAAAAAAACAATAAGTTAAATAAATACATAAATAAATAAATATCCGACGTAACAATATTAGAAATCACAGAGAAAATTGTCGATATCATGTTCGCGATATTTAAAAATATCGCACAAAGTATCGAAGCTTCTGCTTGTTGCACCATCCACCTGCAAACTCAATATTACAGAGTTAGTAATGGTCATATTTATGTAGTGCAGCATGCTAATGTACAAAGCTTAAGCAGTCATGTTTTATTTCACAGTTTTACCAAAATACATCCTGCGTAATGCACACAGACAAATAATAGAACAGAAAAAAAGACTCATTAAAAAGATTATAATTATGATATATATATGTTTTTAAAACTGTAATAAAATAACATTCTTGAAAAAATATAAGTGTTATCAAAAGAATTGCACGTTATAAAATTATATAAATAACAAATAAATTATTATTTGAGATTTAACTGTGTCAGATAAATAATAAATTTTACTATGTAAAATAAAAGTATTATAAAATTTTTTTAAATTATTTCTTTAATTTAACTTATAGAGATCAATAAAAAATAGAAAAAGGTATACAAATTAATAAAAAGATGATATGTACAAAATTTCTTAATAACTTACAAAAATATAATTTGTCAAATAAAAAAAAACTTGTATGACAATTTTCTAACAAATCTATATTCTATTTGTAATAAAATAATAAATTATAATTAATCATGCTAAGCTTTATTTGTACTATATCTATTTTTATTATTATATTATGTATAATAATAATGTATTTTATTGCTATTTATATGAATCTATAAATTTAAAATATCTGTTAAAATATTTGCTTTTTTTTAATGTGTTTTAAAAGTTTCTTTAAGATGTGCATTCAACAAAAGTTTGTATATTTTTGTTTTTAAAGAATCATTTTATATCATGTATAATGTAATAAACTTAGTGTATATACATATGCGAATTTCTAGATAAAATCTATAGACTGCTTCACCTGAGGACATTAGCAATACGTTTACATTTAAGACAAGAATAATAGCAATATTTAAAAAATTATATTAGTAATCATTATTAAGGAAGAAATTTTATTATTAAATAAAAAAATTTTACTATTTGTAATAAGATACCAATATACTTACGTTTTGGTTTTGCCGGTATCAGCTTAATTCCTCCCTTCTTCTCGTCACTGGGTGGAGTTGTTGGCGAATCCAGCGACAGCTTAGCGCGCTTCTCCAACAGTGGAACAGCCTCCCTCAATGGCGATGGCCTTTTTAAAGGAAATTTTGGAGGTAGAATCTTCTTATCAACAGCAGAATTCGGCTTCTTCGATCTAGGTGGTGGTGGTTTTACTTCTTCCTCCAAACCCGTGGATCTGAATTTCGAGTTAAACGTCTTCACCGTCTTCGGTCGCGTTGCTGAATCCTGGTTACTTTTTCTATTCTCGATGGAGATTGATATATTCTTCTTCTCGGTAACGACCTTCGTAGCAACAGCGTCCTTCTTCGAATCCGCTTTGTCTTTATTTTCCTTCGAGCTATCTCGCGACTCGGTCGAAGACTTCCTTCCGTTCGCATCTGATTTCTCGTCCTCTGTTCGTTTTTTCGGTATCTTGCCCAACTTGGGACTCAGCGCTTGACCCTGTACCTTCTCCAGAGTCGCTTTGTCCTTCTCAGCTTGATCCTTCTTCTGCTTCTCCTTTTCCCGTTCTTTATCTCGGTCAGACTTACTTCTACTCGAACTATGTTTACTGGATGAGCTGGAGTGATGCTTGTCCTTGTCTTTGGAAGACCTGTCTTTGCTGGAGTTGGAGCTTTTCGAACTACTACTACTGGAACTGGAGCGGTGACTACTGGATTTATGGGATGTGGAGCTGCTACGATGTGTACTGGAACTTGTGCTGTACTTAGAAGAACTCTTAGACGACGAAGACGAGCTGTGATGATGACCGCTTTTTTTGTCAGAACTATTACTGGATTTTTTATCATCTTTTTTATGAGAGTCCCTATTTTCCTTATCACTAGATTTACTGCTATCACTAATAGTGTCTTTAGAATCTTTATTGTCTTTGCTTTTAACGCCTTCAGGATCTTGATTATCTTTCGAACTAACTATAGTCTGTTTCACTTCACTGGAAACGCTTACCGAATTGTTCAAATGTCCAATGTCTACCGTATCGTCTTGACCACTAGTCGCACTGCCACTTTGTTCAGTCTCCTCTGTCTTCTCTGTTTCTTGCTTCACAAGAAGCGTGACGCCTGCAGTGCTTCCATTAACTTCTGTACTAGCACCGGATGTATTTAGTACGCCACTTATATTCGCAGCGTCCGTTTCCACTTTGGCAAGAACCTGATTGCCATCACGAATAGTAATTTTGTAAACAGGAACTGACGATTGCGAAGCTACAACAACAAATTGCTTTTTACATTGTTGTTGCGTTGTTTGCTGCTGTACTTGCTGGACCTTACCGACAACTTGCACAATTTGCGACTGCAGCCTCTCCTGTTGTTGCTTTTCTTGGTCTTGCTGAATTTGATTTGTTGGAGTACTCAGAGCAGATTGTTGCACGACTTTGTAGTCTTGTACATGAACAGTTGCATTTTCCGAAATGTCCAAGGTTTGTTGAGAGTTCGTGGAATAATGTTGCTGCAGCTGCTGTTGCGATGAAGGAACAACCGAAGCTTGTCCTGCAGCAGCATTCAATTGCACTGTCATGATTTGAGCCGGCACCGAATTCGGTGCCGCCTCTCCTTTCACAATTTTCAGCCATTGTTCGACGAGTCGAGTGGCCAAAGTCCGTACACCTTGATGACTACCCTCTTTCGATAAACCCTTAACCAATTTTGGGCAATTATTACTCTTCAACCGTTCGATATCTACTGGACAAAGTAGTAAAAGCTCCAACAGTTCTTGAATAAGAGCCCAGTTCTTCGCAAGTATGCCATCGGTAAGCCATGTGTGAATAAGGTTCCACCCCCCAGCGCTCATAAACCTACAAAAATAAAAATATAAAAACAATAGTATTATAAAATGTATAATATATTATCTCATATTGTTATGAATAATCTACCACTTCCTGTTATTTTATTTTTAATTGAACTTTAAAGTTATTTTTATGTATAGAAATATAAAGACTAACTCTAAAAATATTAAAAATTTTAATAATTTATATAAATAACGAACAAATAATTATTATATTATTGTAATTCTAGTTGCTTTTTTCTCCGTTTTAGCAGAAATTATTGTCCAAAAAATTCGACAATTATAAATAAATTTAATAAACCAAGGATTTAAAAAACTAATGAGTTTTTGAACACTATTTTAAATGTAAGGTTCGTATCAGTAAAAACGGCACATTAATAAGCACCGTCTAATGGTTCTGAGCCTATATTTTCTCTTGCATGTTTTACGTTTTTATCCACACAAATATACAGATAACATATACTTGCATGTCTCAACATGCTAAATAAAAAATTTCTTTCGCACTACTACTACACTGCTTAATTACCAATGTAATGTGTCAATATCATAAATAATAATAATATTCGTAAAATTAAATTGTATCAATATTATTTGCATAGATTTTATTTGAATACTTACTGACTAAGCAAATCCGTATTAGTGGTTTTCAAGATTTGTATATAAATACATTTCGAGACGAGTTTCTTAGAAAACTTTGTCATTAAATTAGCTAATCGATGGACTTCCTCTTTACTCTTAATGCCTCCTGCTGAACCCAATAAAACGCTGAGGCATTTGAGTAATGAAAGAGGATCTATGCGTGGCTGAAAATACAATTTAAAAAATATTATTAACATAATTATATAAATATAAAATGTCCATAACCATAAACTCAACAAGAAATTAAAAAATATCAAAAAAATATAAATTATGATTAAAATCTTAAAAAAAAAATTTATCTGATTTTCTGAATATTTTTATTTTAATTTCCAGAGAAAATTAGAAACTTAGAACATTTTTATATGCAAATTTTAAAAAAATTATTTAAGTATAAACTTTTTGATGTTTTCTATTTATGTGATCGTGGAGAAATTAAGATTACACAATTCTAAATTACTATATTTGAAGAAATATTAAAAGCGAAGAACTCTCATACTATACCTCATTTTAGGTATATGTATTTAAATATATTTAAAGAAGCATCAAATAAGAAAATTTTCATTAAATAGTAATAAGTTTAATTTAAATATTATATAAATTTTTTTTCTTTTCAAAAAATATAAAACAAAGATTTTTTTTAAATATTAATACTTATTTAATGAAGCATTAAAGACATAAAAAAAGAAATGTATGGAGAATATATTTTGAACACAAAATGTAACTTTAGGCTAATTGGTCAATTGCTGGTTATCTGCGAATTCTCTGAGACAATATCAATCAAACCTCTGAATCGTGTAAAATCCTTCGATTTCTTTACATAGAAAACAAATTCTCTAAAAACTCAAATGGAAAAATTTGCAAGCAAAAGACATAAATTCTTCACTATTTTGTATAATTGTCAGATATAAATAAAAATAATATTCAAGAATATATTTGAAATATCCTTTTCAAATATTATTCAATGCTTGAATACTGGAGTATTACTTATGACTAATAATAAGCAAAAAACCCAATATTCTTGAGCACAGATTACAGCAAACATATAACATATCAATAAGTAATCAAATCAATATAGAAGTGTATATGTTAAGTCTTGGAATATTAGAGGATTAATTTTATGTATCGGGTAAGTAGATGCCTAGCTATCCAGATATTAAAAATTATTTAGCCTATACTATTATAAATAATCAATAAAATAATAGAGAATATTTATAGAAAATTTAAATGTTTCAAAATTAATAAAGCATTAAAGACATAAAAAGACATGTATGAAGAATATATTTGAAACACAAACTGTAACTACTAACTAATTGGTCAACTGCTACTTATCTGCAAATTATTCAAGAATATTGAGCTCATTATCTATTCATTATTAAATATAAAAATAATTGTTTAGTCATGTGAAAAATATGCATTGTCTCTCATGCCAAATGTTTCATATTATTTAATATTAATGCAAATTAGTAGAAATAATCTACTTCTTTATCAATTATGTATTTCATTACAAAAATTCATACAATGATGCTGAATTGAATAGTTTCAAAGGATGGAAATTAACAGATTTCATAACTGTGAAAATAGAACACGAGGTCAAGAGAAAAGCAAAGGTTATTGATCTCTGAGCATCGCCATCGCCACTAGCTGGCGCCATCGCTTTTAAATTATATTACCAAGAAATATAGAAGCCACGTTTATAGTTATATAAATCATATTACTCACCATTTTGTTGAACTTTAAGATGTTTCAAACCATTCTCGGACCAGATATAAGTTCATCGCACGTTTCTGCAACGAAATATAAAATCCATAACTACATGGTCTGTCAATTGACGCGTTCCTCACGCCATATTGTCGAAACGGAATCTCACGGTTACACGAATTGATTAAAGTACGGCTGGCATCTCGAGCCACTGTTTCTCAAAATTTCGATCTGCGTCGTTTGACCATACGATTCATCAAATTTTCTGAAGATCAAACCTCTTAATCTCGCTTACAATATAATGCCGACACGCGGGTCTCATCGAGCTAAAACGATCTGGGACATGCCGGATTAATTGCTCTCGTAGATAGAAATTTCCGTGCCTAGCCTACGTTCTCTATGCGAATTGCAATTACGTAATTACAATTATCATCCTCTTTCTTTAGAAACAACGCTCGAGGCGGAACTCGGAACGGCCGCTCGTTGAAATGCTCAAAAATGCAAGCGAAGTACGAGATTCCTTTGCAACGAACGGAGCTTCTCACTCGGCGAACTAGAATAGCCACTGCGCAGCTGCCGTCTGTACGTCTCGCATAGTCGACCAATCGGAACTACGAACGCGTCCCTGCCCCGCCCGCCGTAACGGTCTCCCGCAGTTCGCTCTTTGTCCATCCCCTCCCTTTCTGACGTAGCTGAGTTCTATTTTTATACCACGTTCGTGTAACGAATTTCTCTGGATCTATATAGCTAGAAACACTTTTTTCTTTTTCAGCACTTTATAAACTTGCTTATAATATTCCTTCTCTTGCCATCTGATTGACACTCGTACGAATTTTTTCACGAACTTTACTTGGACGTGATGCCCACATACATATGATTACGTCACCAATCCCGACATTATTCACTCCGAAACCGGATGCTTTCTCTTAGCGTCCATTACGCTATTACAGAATTCCCAAAATTTCGATATCAGCTATCTTTAAAGACTAATTTTCAGTGAAAATAACGATACCATCGATCCTCTGATGTAATATTTCGTATCTTTTTCGACAGACAAACGATATTTTTTTTTGTTGGAGAATAGAAAAGCCACTCACATTTGATAAAAATTAAGTCCTTTTTATGGAAAATAAATGTTCACGGTGCATAAGAAATGCAATATTTCCTATATGAGAACGTTGTAATGGTCTACGATCCGCTCGTTCGTTTGTTACTCTTGCTGCGCATTGGAGAATGTTACGAGTATAGATCCGTATCCGTAATCCGTATATATCTCGTCGTCTATTTGCCATCTGCAAGTAAATATCGGTTATAATCCATCGACGTTACTATTGTGCCCGCTTTCGACTCATCTTAGACGTTTTCCGCTACAAATATACCTCTCAACTTCTCAACTTATATGAAGCGATCTTTACCTGACTACGAAACCTGTTTTTCCGACCAACATGGGAGTGAAAGTCCAGCTACGTAAGATGATGCAACGTATATCCGGTCCTCGTTACGTGAGTCAAATGCGAAACAATTTCACTATATTACATTTTTAAATTGCTTTAATTGACACATTCTTTTATAAAAATCTATAATATGCAATTCAACTAAATCTAATAACATTAAATCAAAATATAATGTTTGCTAAATTATATAAATGTGATGTATCATTTAAATCTTTTGTTGACTCGTTTCACTAAAGGTTTGCGCGTCACATTGTCACATCCCAAGCCACATCTTCCTATTCGCTTCAATATGGCTGCGTTAGCAAGCGCATCAGTTGAGTACAACGGTTGACTGAAAAGCTGCTGAACGCTCCGTGATACTCAACGTGTTTACTGAGGACGCCATTTTTTCCATCATATTTTAAGTCGGCTACCTGAGCTCAAGTTGAGCTCAACACTCAACACTCAACACTCAAGCTGAGTATTGTAAAACGTAAGCATTAACGTACCCTAAAGTAGCGTTCAGCAGAACATTCCCAACTATTGCAATGCATCACTAATCGCTTATTGAGCGCTTCATTCTGCTGAACGCAGCTTATGCTCCGATCTATACGTAACTCGAACAAACCTTAAAATAATGACATGCTTAAGGCAAACCGACATGAATACATCATCCGACATATGCTATTGTATAGATCCGTTCCCAATCAAAAACTTTATTTTTTAGTGACAAATATATTATCAATAAAAATTTCTATTAAGCACATTTTTCTATTGGACAATCAGAATATCGCACATTGACAAGTCTATTCATATTAAAGATTGTAAACGCATTGTTTTCTGTTATGATTCGTTCACAGTAGTGTATGTACATAGAACTTAAACACTGTGAATATATTCGATGTTACCTGATTCACACGCTGTTTAACCTCACGAAACTCTACGTAATATTCGTTATAACTTGCGAAATATGTCGATTCTTAATACATTACATCGAATTGGAACGCTGGCGCGAGCGAGTTTATCTCATAAAGTAAGTTTGCAAAGTAACTAAGAAACAATATTTAAGCCAATGTTTTTTATAGATTTAAATTATTCACAGCTCGATCCAGCAAGAGCTATCACATTTTCGGTTGCACGTTGTTCTGATAATACAGAAGAAGGAAATATAGCTGAAGCTGAGAATCCAGATGCTCCCAAAGTTGCCCTTAGACCAATTGTTTCAGTAGAAACAAGCATCAACTATATGAATAGTGATGGTTAGAAATTGTTTATGAGCTATGTTATATATCACAAAGTTTAGCTTATAAGTAAGTTTATGTGATAAGATTATTATATTAATGTAATTGTTACAAAATCTAGCTTATAAAAAAACATACGGAGATGATCCAGTGTGGAAATTATATAGAAGAAATCACAAAGGAGCGTTTCCACCAAAAAAGACTCGAAAGACTTGCATAGTATGTATTCAAATTTTTCTATGTATTATACAATTGATACAATGTTTTTAACAATCTTGTATAATTTAGAGAGCCGGTGTAATCTCTACTGGAAGTCCTTGTCCCATATGTAGAGATGAATATCTCGTACTTGATTATAGAAACATCAAACTGCTTGAACAGTTTATCAACAAATATAACGGCGATGTTATAAGTTATACGTAAGTAATGTCTAAATTTTATTAATTATTTCAGTAGTTTATTATATTTTTTTGGCACATATATTTATATATTTATTTTTTATATATTTACAGAAAGACAAATATTTGTCAAAAGAGGCACAAAGAACTTTTAATTGCATTACTCAGAGCTAAGGATTATGGGACTATCACGTTTGATGTCCCTATAAGACAATATAATTACTCAGATTGGAAACCAGCAAAGAATAATTAGTTTTTATTATCGCTGTAATGTGATATGTACTTTTTTGTTAAATATGAATGAATCCAAGGAACATATGGAAGAAATGGAGTCCACTTTTGTCATAGTGGGAGGTGGCATTGCTGGGGTATCTTGTGCCGAAGGATTGAGTTTTCTCGCTCCTGAGGAAAGTATAATTTTAATTACCGCTAGTCCCCTGATAAAAGCTGTGACAAATGTAGTTCCACTAGGCAAAACATTAATGCATTTTGATATAGAAGAGAAAAGTGCAATCTCTTTTGGTGAAAAACACGAGATGTTACAAGTTCTTCATGATACTGTAGTTAAGATTGACACAGCTAGGAAAAAAATAGAACTCAGCAGTGGAAAGATCATAAATTTCAAAATGTTATGCCTTTGTACTGGCGCAAAACCCAAATTGATAGCAGAAAATAATGATCTTGTTATAGGTATTCGTGATACAGAATCCGTATTACAATTTTCTGAGAGACTTAAAAACACCAAAAAAGTCATAATTGTTGGTAATGGGGGAATTGCTACCGAAATTGTACACGAGGTTAAAGGTGTTGAAATAGTTTGGGTAATTAAAGATAAACACATTTCTGCAACCTTTGTTGATCCTGGAGCTGCTGAATTCTTTTTAAACAAGATTTCTTCCAAGTCCGATGAGTCACAAGAGCTTAGTAAAGATGTGCCAACCAAAAGAATGAGATATGTAATATCAGATAGCGCACCAGTTAAAAACGGAGCTGCTCTTGGTCCAGATTGGCACAACAGCTTTAATATGAATGGTGCACTCTTTACACGTACAAATGTGCATGTTGAGTACGAATGTGAAATAGCGAAATTATTCACTACCGAGGAACAAAAGCAGTTGGATTCTACAGAAGAATGGCCAATCTACGCGCAATTAACGAACGGTAAAATCATCGGGTGTGATCTTATCATTTCAGCAACAGGTGTTATCCCAAATTCTAACATATGTGGATTGGAACATCTGAAAAGAGGGGAGGATGCTGGGTTGTCAGTAGATTGGGAGCTGAAAACTTCAGAGAAGGATATCTATGCTGCTGGAGACGTGTGTACCGCAAACTGGTCAAAAGCGAAACACTGGTTTCAGATGAGACTCTGGACGCAGGCTCATCAGATGGGTCGCTACGTTGCTAAATCAATGGTCTCGAATTTAAAAAGTGAAGAATTCTTGCAAGACTTTTGCTTTGAACTTTTTACTCACGTAACTAAATTTTTTAACTACAAAGTTGTGCTACTTGGCTTGTACAACGGACAGACTTTGGGAAAGAATTATGAGATACTTTTGCGAATCACTAAAGATCAAGAGTATGTTAAGATTATTCTGGAAGATGGCAAAATGCAAGGTGCCGTGCTCATCGGGGAAACTGACTTGGAAGAAATGTGCGAAAATTTAATACTTAATCAGTTGGACTTAAGTATGTATGGAGAAGATTTGTTAAATCCTAATATTGATATTGAGGATTACTTTGATTGATATATTAAATTTCTAATAAATGCAATTTGTCTGACAATTCTTTATCAAATTTATTTTCACAATTAAACTTAGCCTAATATTATTATTCACTCTTGACATTTCATATATAAAAATTTATTCTTATGGCACATAGATATGAATTTTATAATATTTTTAGTCAAACATTCTTTTTACATTCGCAAGCTTAAATTTTTTAATTCCGTCAATAACATTAGATTTTAAATTAAATCTTTAATTTTAAATATGAGAAAATTAAAACTTTAAAAATAAGAATTGGAAACTCTTACTTTAATCATTGGCATATGCGACAGTGTATAGCTAACTGAGCTTACATAGATAATATACAAAATATATTTCACTTAATATTCTTAAATTGTGACATCTCTAATCTAACATATTTTTAAAATATATATTATGTGTAAATTTTGTACTAAGCCTCTTAATTTGATTATACAAAAAGAAGTCGTGTTTTAACATAGGCAAAATTAAAAAGTTAAATGGAAAAGATAAAATTATAAATAACGGTGAAAATTCAAAATGCATTTCTAATAAATTATTTAAAACACATTAAGATACATTAAAACGTATAAATTAATGAAATGTTTTCTAAGTCTAAAACTGTGATATGATATGTATCATTATTATAATATCATTACAATGCGTTTTTTTGTAAAATATCTTTAAAACGATAATAGCGCAAGTTTACTTAAAAATAATGATTATTTTAAATAATTATTGCTTTATTGTTCTGTGAGATTTATTAACGATTGGTTTTATTAAAAAACTTCACGTTCTTTTGAGCACTTCTGGTTTTCGCATCTAACACATTGTCATGTATACTAGGCTTCTTCGGTGACATATTACGACTGGCCGAATTTTTAAAATTTTCCATTTTTAATGGTTTAACTTCGTTATTGACATTGCTAACGTTGTTCATCGAAGTTTCATGCCTTTCTTCGCATTCGCTTGTCTTGTCTTTACTTTGAAAAATATTCTTTATGTCGATTGTCATGTCGATAACAGTATTGTTGGCGCTGTTTATCGAAGTTCCACTTGTATCCTCACATTCACTTGACTCTGTGCTCTGAAAGATACCTTTTAAAGTTTCAATAATATCCTGCATCTTTGATAATGATTCAATGATCGGTTTCGTGTCGAGCTTCTGATACCGATGACACAACTTATTCAATGTTTTCGCAGCGACTTCAATTTGAACGAGACACGCATTTACATCTTCCTGTTGATCGTATGTTACAGATGTTTGATCACTGAACGTCGCTTCGAACATCGACGTATCCATGGAGAATTGATGGATGCTCTCATTCAGTTGCTTCTTCACAGGTGTCATGTTTATCGAAATTTTACTGCCATTCAAGGAGTCTTCAAATACTTCCGTTTCATCGTAAGACTCCCAATAAGAATCGAAATTTTCCAGTTCTTTTATAGAACTCTCTATGTCGCAATTTCTCAACCGATGAACCCAATTTAGAAAGACTATTGGTTGCAACAGAGCTTCCATCATACGCGTTTTATCGCGAACGCGAATTACTGGTCGCAAACTCTTTTTTACTATAGTTTGTTGTTGGTAAAACTCCTAGAAATAAAAAGTAACATCAAGATCTGGAGAAAATATTAACTATCTATATATACAGAATTTATTATTTAATGTCTAATAAATTATAGTACAAACTGCTCAGATAATTTCTTATTAAAAAATTAATAAAAATTGTAAAATAAGTTTTTTATAATTATTGAATAGATTGCAGAGAGAAAAGAGTATGCTTCATTTGTTTGCCTCTAATATGTGCTGATCACAGTTTTTTATAACAATTTACGGTCAAGGTGCACAAGCTTCTAGTATATATCTGTGTATTTACGATATCTCACTATGCCAAGAGATTTAAAACCAAAAGATATTAGTTCTTATATTTTATCATTTATCATAATTATAGTTATATCATCAAATTCAAAGATTACGCGATCCAACTGTTCAAGAAACCCACACTATTTCAATATTCAAATGCAGTTTCTCAAAAATTATGTATTTACTTATTTTATATTTTCCACTCATTTTTATACGAGGAATCATCTAGTCACTCTTACCACAATTTACTAAACAATGCATAATTTGCGTATACAATTATTACAAGATAACTCACGTAATTAAAACCGGCTTCTTTACACCGCTGTGTCGCTTCTTTGACGAGTACTTGCATTTCGTGCAGACTAATTCCACCGGCGGTTATCGTTTCCTTGTCAAGTTTCGTCTTTAGCGCACTCTCAATATCGGCAGCTTTCTCATTCAGAATACTCTCCAGTTCTTGCAGAAAGTTTGATTTGTACGGCGATAGTCTCTCATGACTTTGCTCCAGTTGTATTTTCTTGATTTTATTATTCGTTTCAACTTCTGTGGCCAGTAACTCCTTCTCCAATTCCAACTCTTTCTTTCTACGATTAATTTGTTCGAGTGCGTGTTTTTGTTCTTCCAAAGTGGAACCGAGAACTTCGATCTTGTGCTCGTACGTCGATTTCTGCGAACCAAGTTGCAATTCTACCTCACGCTTTGCATTTTCTAGTTCCTTTATCGCTTTTTGCTTCGATTCCTCCAGTTCTGCTCTTAATCTGTTAAAAAAAAATTGTTATGCAATTAAAAAAAATTCAAAATGCAGTAAAAAATAATTATGCAATAATTATCGATAAGAATTGTTAATGGAAAGATAATTTCAGCTAGAGCATAATTATCATATGATCATATTCGTGTCACTAACGATTGTTTTGATAATAATCATAAGAACGCGAAATTGTTTAGGTAATTAATGATAGTAAAGATAGTAATCACAAAAATGCCAAATGTTTTAATTGGGTTCTCCTTAATGATAAGTGAGTTTGTTATTGTTATCTATACTATTATCTATACTAGTGATATAAAGAAATTCGCTTATTTGTTTACTACCATTATCAAAACACTCATTAATGACCTAATTATTTACTCCAATTAACTTTTGTCTTTCTCTTGAAATTTTAAACTTTGAAGAACGGTCTATTTATATCTATTTTAACAAGCAATATATATATATATATATACTTTTCTTCTTGTATTCGGAGGATTTCTTGATGCGCAAATTCAAAATCTATCGCTTGCGTGGAAAGTTTAACATTGCAGGAATCATCATATGGATTTAGCACTTTGAAATAGTGATTGCCACCGATGACTAAACGATCACCATGTTTGAGCATAAGTTTCCCAGTCACTATCTGAAAAGCAACAATATCTTTAATTAATATCAAATCTCTTAGAAATAAGCAACAATATATTGTTGATTATTATTACCTGGCCATTGACGTACGTGTCTCCGTCCATTTCCGGTGTTAAAATTAATTTGCCCTCGTTATTTTCAATGGAACTGAGAAAAAGGAAAAGAAAATATAACAAGCGGCCATATAAAGTATATCAATATATTAATATATACGATATATAATTCAAAAGGAAAAAGATTAAAAACACCAGTCATGCATTTATATTAACAGAATTCAATAATTCAGAAAAAATTAGAATAAGCGTGATATTTGTATTTTAGTGAATATTTAGTTTTCGTCAAATGGTATATGCATAAGCGCATCTATTTTACAAGCAAGCTGCAAGTTGTATATTTACTGGCAATGATAAGTACAATTTTAATAGTACATCGTAAATCTCCGATTTGTTTAGATTCCAATTTATATGGCGATTTCATGAATTCCTACTGCAACCTATATAATGTAAAATGACATCCATAGCAAATATATAAAAGTATATAAACAGAATGTGAATGTTGGATAGGAAACCAATAACACCTCAAAATTACAAAAAAAAAACATCAAAATTGTTTTCGCTTCCGTCCATCTAATTGATAAAACAATTTGTTTTTATAATCAATCATTGCTGTACAATTTATTGCGCAATAGCAACATTACACGGGCATTAAGATTAGAAATTATTAATTTGTTATAAGGAATAACAAATGATGCAATGCATGCTGATGAACAGAAGAGTGGCAGTTTCAAAATGTTCCCGGAATTGGAGTTTACAGAAATATTCAAACAAGAAAAATTGTTTTACAAAGACATCAACCATATTTCAACAAGTACGTAGAATATTAAAAAAAAAATTTCAGATTTACTACTATAAATGTTAATGAAGCAACAACGTTTTTACTGACATCATTTACAATGCCGATGGCGGAATTTAAAAAACTTTCACGAAATAGCTTTCAGGAATGCCTCCTAGATTTTTACAAATGCTTAACAAAAACGTATAGTATTTTAAAGGAAAAATAGCATAAATAATTTATGTAGAATATTTCGTATTTCTCAACTATGCAGCATGTCCAGGAAGCTTTTTGAAGTTATCGAAACAAAAGATACAAAAAAAATAACATTGTTAAGACATGTTTGGAAAAAGGAGAAAATCAGCCTTCGATTCTAAAAAAACATCTCCCTCTTTCTCTCACAGACTCATTCCATTCTCTTTCTTTTTTTCACTCTACCCAAGCACGTAAAACAAACACGCACAGTCCATGACTAACCAATGCAACTCTCTAACAAGAGGCCCGTCCAACAAGATGTCCAGCTTTCTGGAAATGGCTTCGGATCCGCTATTTTTTCCAACACGGACCAAACCTGGAGGTATGAGATACAAAAGCGTACCGGATAACATAGGATCGGCCGCGAGATTTACAAGACAAGGATGTTTGTCTCTTTCGTGAAAATCGATCTCAATGGCGATTCCGCAACGACGCAAATATTTCAGCTCCGAACTCTTCTTCTCCTCGGCTTTCTGGAACTTTTCGCTCCAGCTCCTGTAATTATACGTGGCTAACGATTAAGTCTTAATTCGAGTCGGAAAAGTCGCTAGTAAAATTTGCGAAACCTTTTCAGACCTAATAATATCACGTATTTACAAGTGCATATTTAATATCCTGAAAAACTTTGGCCAATTTTATTTACAATTGTAAGATTAAATTATAGCTTCCGGCCCTTTAAACCAAACAGAAATAATTTAATTAACCGACAATAAGAATAAAACTAAAATACATCTATTATTATATATATGTATATCCGTGTTTAAAAACCATATTTTATAAAATTATCGCGCTAGTACAAGAATTTATTTTTCTTCTTCTAATATCTGGTAAAAAAGAATCGATAATATAGACGGACTTAAATTTTATCGAACTTGCTTCATAATTTATTCGCCTGCAAGGGATCGAACAATTTCACTTACATTTGAGTGGCAGCCAGTTGTTCTTCTGTTTTCTTCAATTGATCCTTCAGCTCATCAATCTCCTTTTGCTTTCGCTTAACTTCTCTGTCGGGCTTCTCTGTCGGGCGAATTGGCTCGATGCAATCGAGCAATCGACGAGGTACAACTCCAAGTTGCTTTTCATATCCCTCGCGTACCCCACGTAAACGTAGAACTTCAGCTTTTAATTCGCTGTTAGAAGTTTAAAAATAAATTAAATCATTAAATTATGTATTCACCTTCGTTATCTATAAAATAATGAAACTTTAATTATTATATATCATATTTTCTTCATATTAACAATTTTTATTTGCAAAACAGTTTTGTAGTTTTGATATAACTTTTATCGCACTAAATTAGACTACTTTACCGAATTTGCCGATCATGTGGATCCTCATTGATACGAATTCGATTGACTATAGCTCTAGCCTGGCAGGCGTAACGAAGAGTCGCTAAAGTCTCTTCCACATGAATATTTGCTGGTGATATCGTCCCCAGCATTGCCGTCCGTGAATTTCCTCCCAAACTTTCCTGCAAAAACATAGGAAATATTTTTGTATATCTATTTAATTTTTTTAACTGTTTCACTATGCATTTTGTGTATTATAAATTTTACAAATCACGAGACTTAGATAAAATGCATGACTTTGCATAATTAATGCCAAAATATTTGCACGGCGACTTAATTCGTGGTACTTCAAATGCATATATTGTTAAAATGTATTGTATATTTTTATCTGAATCCGACACAGTCCACATAGTAAGAGATAAAGTGTTTATCGCGTATTGTACTAAAAGGCATTAAACGCCGGCAGAAATAAATTTAATCTAATCTAACCGCAAATCTAATCAGTTACAAATCCAATTATCAGGTATTGTTATCGATCTATATTGTCATCGATCAATGGGGAATTCTCTACGCATCAAAAAGAATGATTAGATTTTGAAAGCTAGATTCTTTGATTACATCCTTTGTTCGAGGGCCTCTTAAGATATGATATCTTAAGTGAAAATATAATTTCGCTAACTTTTATCTTTAAATTCTATTCTCGAATTTTATTTTGCAATTCATTCTTAATCCTTAACTTCCAATTTACAAGTAAATTAGCAATTAATTGCGTACCGATAAAAAATTTCAATGAAAAACAAATAATTTGACATCACATGAAACACAGATAATTTCTATTAATATTCTGCTAGAATGAAATAAACATAAAATAGATTTTTTAAATTGAGTATCAAAATAATAATTAGCGATTTAAGACATTTCACGCGCCAAGTACGCACTGTTTACTGATTATAAGTAATTGTTACATTACAAGAATTGTTAAAATAAAAAAAAGCTTTCCGGTGATTGAAATTTTTCTATCTATATCTGTTATGCTAATGTCGTGTTTTAAATGTATTGTTATCTTCAAATGCGTTGAGTTTATAGTTGCCTTAAAATTTCCATACTCGCATGTAAAAAAGTTTTATCATTGAAAACCATGTAAATTTATGAAAAAAAACCTAGGAAAACAATTATTCCAGAGTTTATAAAAAATTATTTGAGGAAAATCCCACGTATTATTTATTATATCAATTAATGAGTGAAGCATAATATCAGAAATCAAATTAGATATTATTTCTGTTCTCATATTGCGATCTCTTTTGCTAATAATATCAGCATAAAATTTTCGGATCATTTATCGTTTCATTAATTTCATTGTACGTAATAATCATCGATATGTATCATAAGATTGGCATTGATAACGAGTTCAAAGCACAATAAAGCTTGATCATCATTGAAACATGTGTACAATATCATCTACTGCGCAATTTCATCTCTCTTTTCTTTCTTTTTTCCTGTATGTGTTCAATAGTACGATAATAATAATTATAACTGTTATATTATTATTATTATAAATATAATAAATATATTATGAAAAATGAGCATTATACCAAATAGCCAAATGTTAGCAATATTGACAGATTGACAAATCAAATTGATCAATCTGCCAATATTCGTAACGTTTGTGGGCAAATGCCCAATACGTTTTAATTCTATAATATATATATTTTGTCTTTATTTAATTACAAAAAAAACATTAAAATAGTCAACAAAAATAAAAATATAATGTAGAGGATGTAGAGTGCAATGCGTACAATTGTGGGAGAAAAGAAAAAAAGAAAAGAAAAAAAAAAACGGCGAGTTAATGTATAAAATATTGAGAATAC